TTAGTCACTTAATTTATTCTTAACAATTTTATATGATTTCCCCCTCCTTAAATTGTTAATTAATTATCACCTTATTTCTTAATCTTATTATTACTCCTCAAGAATTCCCAGCCCATCAGATCATCAAAACAACCCGGCCCAACAGATCATTAAAACAAAAGCGAGGTGCAGACTTCTACGTACGTCTTCTTCTTTAGTATGACCGGCGAAAAAGTAACAACAGCTCCGGCGTCCCAGCGGCGGTTCTCTCTAGTGACTCTGTGGCCTGCGGCAGTTCTGAACAGCAAGTATCTTGGCGTCTTCTTTCGCAGCAGAAACGGCTAGTGTCAGTCTTCCTCCGTGCTCCGTTTCCCTCCGTGAAACCAGCCCGACGAATACTCCGGCGATCTTGTTCTCCCACTTCTGACGTTCTTTTTCAACGATTTTTGTTTCGTTGGATTCCTCTAACGAAGGGGAAGGGTTTTAAAGTGTTTTCAAGGCTCGATTCTGGCTAAAACGAAGGGTCAATAATTTTGTGTGTATATATATATATATATATATATATATATATATATATATATATATATATATATATATATATATATATATATATATATATATATATATACGTATATATATAATATGCGATTGAACTAAAAGTTGGGAATGAAGTGAATTGAAGGTTTGGTCTGCTATTTATAGGTGTGATCGAGACTCAAGGCTGTGTTAGAGTTGGAGTTAAACTCGTTTGGCTTCGTCCATAGTTATCCGTATGTAGTACGTTTGTGTAGTAAGCATGTAGGAGTACCTTATATTATTTGTACCCCATGCATGGTAGAGTACGTAACTGGTACATAGTAGTTTAGTTAAATTCTTATTCTTTAGTTGTGTAGTTTACTAATTATACTCCCTGCAATATAATACTATATTATTGTCTATGGAGTATGTTATACTCTTATTATTATTATAAGTGTATTTTGCGTATTTTATACAAAATATAACTTTTACTTCTTATTCCATATGTATAACTGGTACTTCATATAAAATGTTACTTTTATTATCGGATCATTTTTATCAGACCAAACATGTCACAAACGTTAAATTTTTGTCTGGTTCACTTGTTTAATAAAATGTTGTTTCTATTACTAAAATATTTTTTCTGACTAAAACGTAATAAATTTTGAAATTTTTATCTGATTCGAATGTCATCTCTGTTGAATTTTTTGTTTGACTCAATAATTAAATTGTCATTTCCGTAACATTTTATCTGACTAATAAAAATTATTTTTATTTTTATTAATTTTTTTTTGGAGTGTCACATTCTACCCTCCTTAAAAGATGTTTCGCCCCGAAACATAAACTAAAGTAACCAAATTCTTAAGTATTACATTCTATTTTTATTTTTATTTAAATTTTTGGAGTGTCACAGGCAACCCATCAAACCCTACGAGGGGAAGACTGATCCCCAGGAGCACTACAGCATGTACCAGAACAGTATGATGATGGCGAGGGCATCCGATGAATATTTGTGTCGTTGGTTCCTCTCCACCTTGGAAGGACCAACATACGAATGGTTCAACCGATTGCCCGAAGGGAGCGTTGACTTGTGGTAAGAACTCGCCCAAAGTTTCTTGACGCAATTTGCGGGAAGGCACCAGAACAGTATGATGATGGCGGGGGCATCCGATGAATATTTGTGTCGTTGGTTCCTCTCCACCTTGGAAGGACCAACATACGAATGATTCAACCGATTGCCCGAAGGGAGCGTTGACTTGTGGTAAGAACTCGCCCAGCGTTTCTTGACGCAATTTGCGGGAAGGCATCGATCAAAGAAGCATTTCTCCCCCTTGCTAATAGTAAGGGAACAGAAGGAGGAGACCCTCCGGGATTTCCTTGAACGTTGGAGGCTAGTGTAACACCTCGGCCCCGTAGGCCCCGAGGTAGTTACTTCTGACCTCTAGTACTGTTCTCACAAACCGCCACTAGCCTTTTCCGCGCACTTTGTCCTCACTCGTGCGCGCCCTTAGAAACATCCCAGGGGGTCACCCATCCCGAGACTACTCCCGTGCAAGCACGCTTAACTTTGGAGGCCCTTTTATAGGAGGCTCTTTCTGGCCGTCGCCATTTGGGACAGTTCCTAGTGGAATGTTTTGATGAAGTTTTTTGAGAATCTTATTCATTAAGTCTATTTTACTCATACCAAATTTCAGATAACAATTCAATTGGGAAAGCATTCAAATAAATTATTGAAAATAATCGCGCTTTTAACTGCGCAGTTGTCTTCAAGAATTCATTTGAATGTCTTCCCGTTTGAAGTTTTAGTTGAAATTTGGTATGCGTAAACTACACTTAATGAATAATGTGTTCAAAAAATTGCATAAAAAATTTCCATCGGAAACTTCCCTAAATGACGACGGCCGGACATAGCCTCCTATATAAGGGCTTATTTGATCTTTTTTGGTTAGCACGTGAGTTTATTTCCCCCTTTTCTCTATTCTTTAATATACATTTTAAATTATAAGGAGTATACAACTTAAAATGGTGTTGTTGGGTTAAATTTTCCAAGAAAACGGTTTTTGATAGTTCGAGTTAACATATGTCTGATAATTTAAAGGGGTGTTATGCTATGTTGTAAAAATTGGATCGGGAAACGACCCGCCCACATAACCGGCACACCGATCAACCCGGGCCTGGTGGGTCAGCGCTAGAATACCGATCAATATTTATGTTCCCTCCGGTCCTAAATAATCTTCATGATTTGACTTTATGGTTTTAAAGAAAGTGAAATTTTTTGTTTTGACTTTCCCATCATATCCCTACAAAAAATTGATAAAGTATAGTGGAAGAGAGAAAATGGTTGTAAAGTATATAGGTAACTTTATAGTAAAAAGTTGCCAAAAAAAGAAGTGTGCAGTTTAGTTTGGACCTACCCAAAAAAGAAAGTGTGAAGTTTATTTAGGACCAGAGAGAGTATAATACTAAACATATAATTATATGTAAAACTAAAAAGAAGTGTGCAGTTTATTTTGTGTTGTTCATCCACCTCTGTTTTCATTACTATGTTGAAGACTTCCACCGTCGTGAAGGAATATACAGAGCAATGTAGATCTATGAGGGGGCTAAACGTTAACGGGGAAAACTGCGATTACGGGATACTCCCTTCGTCCCGAAATAAATGTCGTGCTTTCCTTTTCGGCCCGTCCCAAAATAATTGTCTTATTTCCTCTTTTGGCAATGATGGGTGGGTCATATCAATTCACCTTTTTCTACTCAAATCTCAACCACAATTTTTACCTTTTCAACAACTTTCTTAAAACTTGATAGCACAAGCCTTAAAGATTGAAGTACAAGTATAATTAACACAGGGTTACACCAATATTTTTTTAATACCCAAAGTACCCAAACCTTGATTAACTCTTATACTCCGTAAGTTTTTATTTATTATTAGATTAGATTAGATCTCTACATCTCATCTCAGTAAGTTATAAACATGAATCAAAGTAAGTCTATTTTGGGTATTCAAAATTTGTTGGGTACTCATATTGATAGCTTAAACATGTAGCATGCGATTAAAACATTGACTTTCACGTGGATTAATAAAGTACAAACTGTGTGGTTGTAATTTGTGCAGAGGAGAGAGAACTAATTTTAACCACATATTTCTTACTTTAAATGGAAATGACAAATCTTTTTGGGACATCCAAAAAAGGAAATTTGGCCAACCTTTTTGGGACGGAGGGAGTATAATTTTGTAAAGATTTAGTTAACTGAGATGCCGCTCACAACCCACCCCCGCTCGGCTCAGAGGAAGTACGCACATCGGGGTTCCGCACCAGGCTTCTTTCCCTTCATCTTCGATGTCCATTTAGGTTATCTTTTTTTCTTTCTTTCAATGTTGATTGGCACAAGACAATAGAGCAACATAGATTTGACACATTATTACTAGGGGTGAGCATTTCAGTTTTCGGTTCGGTTTTCTTCAGTTTCGGTTCGGTGTCGGTTTAATCGGTTTGATAGAAAATGTACCAAATACAAACCGATTAAGTTTCGCTTTGGTTTCGGTTTGGTATGGTTCGGTTCGGTTTGGAGTTCGGTTTACCAAAGTATTAAAGTTTGGATTGAAATACAAAAAAATAACTCAAAATAATGAACCAAGAAGCGATAGTAATGAACCAAATATAATGTTAGATATAAATTTGCAAACAGTAACAAAACACATATGAACCAAAAATATATAAGAATAACACATTTGTAAGAAATAACAACAACGTGAATGAATCAAATTATATATAAAGCTGAAACAAAAAACAAAACTGGTGCTTGTAAGTAATGAACCAAATATATAGTAGTAGTACATAATGAATTATAGTTAAATACTATCTACTTAAACCACTATAATTGTTATAGTTGTGAATGTAACTTTTGTAGTAAACTCTAGTCCTGGACACTAAAATTAAAGAATTAAAGATTCAAAAAGATTAACATCTATCAAATTAATGAGATAAATCTCATATTTTGGTTTGGTTTAGTTTGGTGTAAGTTGGTTTTGATTTGTTATTTAAAAAGAAAAAAGAAATTATTTCATTTTTAGATTAGTTCGGTTTTATGATTTCGGTTCGGTTTGGTTCGGTTTAATACGGGTTGAGAGAAATACTACCAAACTCAAACCAAATTACAAATGATTCGATTTCGGTTTGGTTTAATTCGGTTTGGTACGGTTCGATTTGGTCAAATCGAACGGTTATGCCCACCCCTAGTTATTACTATCCACCATTCTTCAATCTCCAATATCCCGTCCAAAAAACCGGGTCAATTTAGGGTCGGGTCGGGTCTATAAATTGAGATTGTTGAGCTTTGCTGCAGAGGTGGGCCAGACATATTCACGGTTCTTTGAGCACGGCATTAAAGCACATGTTGCGTGTTAAAGCCTTATACCCAAGGGATTTAAACATAGGTTGCACGACAACTGATAGAAAGGTATCAGTCTCTTTTTCGTTTGACGATATACGGGGCGTCAGGTATATCAAATGCCAAAACACATTATAAAAACGGAGCATTAAATGGGCAGTCCACCTTTGTCATAAATAGTCTTCTCAATAGTCTTTTCAGCACAAATTTTTCAGTGTGGTTGTCCAAGAGCCACATGTTTCGAACTCTGCCAATAAATACTCTGTACAAGTCTTGAAATTTTAAAAATATGGTTGAGTGTTCTACTCTCTTTAGTTGGTGAGTAAATTTTTACTTTGTACTCCGTATTTAACACATACTAGTACAAAAAACAATCAAACATCTTCCGTCGGGTTGTTCAAGAAAAAACCGAGAGAGACCATCCATAATTGAAGGCCTTGAAATGAAGATGAATCAGGTTTTCGTCCAATGAACAAACCTATCTAAGAAACAACCGGCCAGTTCCAGAAGCACAAACTTTCCGAGAAGCAGAGTTGCCTCAAAACCCTCGCAGCAGCCAGCAAGCACAAGTCAGTTGAGCTGATTATCAGGACTACTATATTCCAATTGCTCGAGAGCTTCTTCTCCGACGGCAACAATCTCGACCTACGATGCCAATACATTTTTCTTCCCGGTCAATCGCTAATTTTTCTTTCTTTTCTTCCCTTTTCTCATTTCGCCACCTTTCTAGAAAATCCTTTCATTAAATAATTTTGTCTGGGGCCTCCAAAGTCCTCAAGACGTCTCTAATCCTCTCAATCCTTCGAACTCTCATAGGATAAGATGTGGATCCTAGCAATTTTAGTGCACACAAGGTGAATGTTTACTTCATTAATTGAAGTAGAAATAATGGATATATTTTCCTTATTAGTTTGATTATTATAAGTGTATTTTGTATTTATAAATTGCAATACAATAGACATATTCAGGAAGAAATCAGAAAATTCCCACCATTTTTTTGTAGAAAACTCAAGAAGAGATTTCTATACTTCTATATTCTATCAATTAAAATTTTGTGGGATCAGATTATTAGCCGGGGTATTTGGAGAACATGACATTTTAACATTAATATAGCATAGATGGTATATTCATATACTCCGTATATCTCAAACACTCATAGCAATTCACTTCATTCATTTTTTGTCATAAGTTAAAAAGTATGAGAACTATTTATTTGGTAAAAGATGCGAGTACAAATAAGCAGAACAATTAAGGATGGGCATTGATTTAAAATCTGAAAATATACGGAGTATTATTTATGAATGTTAAAGATATTTGCTTTCACTTTAAAAAAAGAATAGAAGAGTAATTAGTACTAATGTGGTAAGGTTAATGTGGTAAGGTTATTAAGAAAAGTGGGATGCAGTAGGTGCACCCTCTGCTTGGTCTGCTTGATTAATCATGAGGGCTTGAGACTCTGCTTTTGAGTCGGGTCAGCTCTTCTTTTGCTTGGTCTGTTTATTATTGAAGAAAACGGTGTTCAGCCATGATGAACTATATGTGGTAGTTTCGCGAGTTACGAACCCGAAAGTATTGAAAATTTTAATTTTAGATGATAACGGTGAGAACTCGAATGAGACAACAATGTTGTATTCAAAGAAGTGCTTCAAAGTATTTAAATTGTTGGGCTTTGGTTATTTCAAAAGACCAAGGTACTGATGCGGAATAGTTTCTTACGAGTATATAATATATTCCCCCAGGTCACTTTTACTCTTCTGCTCTTTTATTAACAAATGCAAAAAGAGCTGGGAAATCTGTTCGTATTAATACAGCTACTCTTTTGCATCATGAACTAACCAACCTTTAAATGTGCGAGCTATAATCCTATGCAATTATTACTATACCATATTGATTTGGTGGTTTTTCATTTTCATTTTTTTCATTATCATCCTAATTGATAACTCATATCAAATATCAATACAAGTGTTCATTAATATGAGACCTATTAATAGATAGCATGGAGAAAGGTAGTAATTTGATTCAACATACCGAATTGTTTTATATGAAATTAGAAAAGTAAGGCCTAGAATTTCTCTTGGATTGCATGTTTTTTTCTTGAGGTCTTTCATGATGAAGGGATGTTAAATAGTGTATTGTTTGTAGGTATAAATGTTAAAAACTAGAGTAACTAGCACACAACGACCCTGTTTGTTTAATGGCGGTTGGGGTGAAAAAACGCTGCTAACTGATGTATTTCCAATAATAAAACATCAGCGTTTTGGAGTGAAACACTGGCACCCAAACACCCTCAACATGGTTTATAATCCACGTGCATATATTTAGTCTTTATAATAGCTTCAAAATGATGCCACATACATCTTGCTCCAGACCTTTAACTCTGTGTTTAAGCTTCTAACTGTCACACTAGAAACCATACGATGGATGAACTTAAAGACCGGTTACTAATAAGCTCTCTGATAGATCTGCATTTATATTGGCATGGCAAACTCACTATAGAATAAATGTCATTTGACATAGGTTCACAAGTCATTACACTTATGAGCTTATATAATTTGAGTTGCTTTTAGAACTTCCTTTCATTTTTACTCTGCCATGATTTGCCAAATGCAGAAAGAAAATCTGTTGAAAGGCTTGTTGCATCCATTGAGAAAGATTCTGTCTAGGATTTTGGTATAGAAAAGGTTCCTTTTTAGCTTTACTCATTTTTTCTGTTTAAATCAATTTAATCTCCTTTGCCCACGCGTTAGTTGGTTTATTTTTATTCTGTTATTGAACTGCTCCAATGATCTAAATCACAAGTCGAATTAAAATAATTTGTTTTGTTTACAACACTTACTCTGTATGATACTTCTGATTTATTACAAATTGCCTTGCAATGTGTATACGCAAGTGTATATATGGGCCCCACTTTCAGATTATAGCTAGCTTTCAAAAGATATTATAGTGTTATTACTACTATTATAACTATTACTATTAATATTATTATTACTATTATAACTATTATTATTAAGCGAATATATTTTATTAACATTCGAATTGAATATACTTATATTTTTATTTGTATTTGATAACAATTCGAATCAAATTTAGTATTCTTATTTGTATTTGTATTTGGATTTTTCAAATTCGAATCTGAACAAATCGTCTTATATTTGTATTTGTATTTGGATTTTTCAAATTTGAACTGTTGGCTACAAATACTGCCTTTTCTTTAAACAGGAATGTTTGTTTAGGCTGCAAGGCATGCATACTCATCGTGTGGACTTTCAACTGTCCTTGAGTGGACGAGAAAGAACTTTGATTTGCTTCATAAAGTTCTTGAGCGGGTATCCTAAGAAATGATACCTTCTTATTTCAAACACGATTAATTTGGTAAACTTTCTAATGATTATTTTGGTTTGTTTCAGAACTCTGGGGCCTTGTTGACACGAGAAGAAATCAACTTGGCTGCTGACTTGAAAGCGAGAGATTTGGAAATAGTCACATTGCTATTAAACAATTGCGTTCTTGATAGTTTTGCCGATGAAATTGATCATCTTAAATATGAGATTTCTGTTGCGGATCAGATTGATCATGGGGTAAGATGATAGCCATATCAGCCATAGATTTTTTCTATTAGAACAAATGCTTGTTTTCAACATTAATGCTTAATTATCTGTCTTTTGAACAGTTAATCTACCACTTTCATGCTAAACTTTAACCTTGGCAGCTTGGCTTAAGTAACAACAATAAAATGCAATTTAGCCCAATGAATACTTTCATAGATGAGACTTTGCTATGAACATATAAGTATGTAACTTGATTTTCTGTTTTTTATTTGTTTTTGTTCCTTGGTTCTTTGCCTTGTTGCTTGGTCAATTTAGTCCCACTATGGCACTATGTATTAAGTTTTTGTTTCCAACCTTTCTTTGTCGACTTTTGACAGCTATTTTTTTACAAACGAACCAAATTTTTGGGAGGATGCCTCTCCTCATCTTAAAAGGATACAAAAAGAGACATGGTCAAGAAATCTGTTGAAGAAGACCACAAAGAGCTGGACCACTTATTTCTCGAGAATTGCATAAAAGAGCAAATTGAGGTATCTAAGCTGCCACATTCATACTTAAATCATAACTAGCGACTTGTGCCAACTTATTGGTGTATTATTACATATGTTTAATTGTTTTGCTATGATTGCATATGTGTAATTAGTTAGAGTTATATAAATATGAATACTTTTGGTTAATAAAACCAATCTAATAGAAATTTGATAGTTTGCACACAATCAACAACAACAAACACATCCAAGCCTTAATCCCAAAAGAATTTGGGGTCGGCTAACATGAATCAATCTATAATATCGATGTCAAACAGAGAAGTGTGAGCTCATGAGTTTTCTGTATGATTTTCGAGGCTACCACCAGTTATTTATTGGAATAAATCAATGGCTCTTTCCCTACGTATCGCGCACATGAGATTTCGGGCGGTCATACCAAAAGTTAAAATTGATGTTTCCTTTGTGGGTGGGCCTGCGGATAGGCACGTATAAAAACCAACATGCATTTGGGTAGGTAAATCCCGCCTTGCCCCAGACATTTGGGGTAGGTCAACCCTGCCCCGTTTTGTAAATGGGGCCCGCTCATAGAACAGGACAGGTCCACCCCCACCCATAGATCAGGACGGATCATCTGATATTAATACTGACCCGTGTCGCCCCGCTCAGTCTCGTCTCGCCGAGTATGTAAGCATACACAAACTTTTTAAATGATACTACGTACTACAAATATAAATATGCGTACATACATGTGTGTATAATAAATCATAAGTTTCATAGCCTTGTAATATACTATATATAATATTTATATTTGAATGAGATGAATGAATATTCATTGTCGTTGTCTTTTTTAAATTTAGCATTTTATATCTTGATTTATAAATATATATAAATAAATTATTGTAGTCTGGGTACTTCTTTCTTAAATTTTGATATTTTTCGGTGTATTATGTCTTGATTTATTGTTCGTAAAAATGATGACACCCCATCCCTGAGGATCCCCCACACCGACCAGACAGTTGATTTTATTATATGGAGTATACATTACAAAGGTCAACAGTGCTCCAGTTTAATTACCCAATATACGATACCGTATATTCCTAATATTCTTTATATGGTCTTTTAAATTTTTTTTTCTTAATACCCACCTATTACTCTGCTATATATACACCCATTTCTACTCAACTCTCTATCAATCCCATCTAATAGATTGATATGATTGCAAATGCTTTCAATGAATCCCCTCCACTATAATAACCACCTTTAATTATTGAATAGATGACAATCGTAGGTACAATAATAAATTTATTCAAGAATACATGGAATATTTAGGAGATGAGACTCACTTCGAAATACCTGTTTTGCTACTTCAAAAACCCAATGATATTCTCCGGCTTAAAAATTATTTCCTCATCAACTTAACCAATGAAGTGAAGCACACAAAATCACTCTTGTTAGTAGGAGCACAGATGTTTATTTGATCGTATTCGTTTCCCAAAATAGTGTATGGTATTTCAGAAATAAAGTTGACTTACTCCGGTAATGCATACCATCTTTCGTAATGATAAAAAACCCGATTTTCTTTGTTCCAAATTCCCCTTGAAGCTTCATACGGTGACCTTCAGAGCAAGTTCAAGGGTAGAGGGCGCTGTCAAAACTGTGACTTAGGAAATAATCACTTCAGCTCTTGCATATTTAAACTCTATAGAATCCAGATTATTGATTGTGAGAGGGATTATACCATTGCATCTGCTTTTTTGGTTTTCATTCAAATGCTCTCTTAATCCATGAGGTTAAAGAAATTTAACCGCAAAGTAACCGACATTGTTCAGCCTATAGATGGAGTTTACCACCAGTTTCGAGCCGATGAATTTGACAGAGTTGTCAAAACATCTGGAGAATTTTGTCAGAAGCAATATTGAAAAAAGATAAAGTCACCATCAAGTTGTAGAAGACAATTACCTTGTGTTTTCAGAAAGTTATCGTTACGGTATGTATTAACATATACATATACATTATATTTTCACCGCTCATTCTTAAATACACACACAAATTCGTAAGCAACAACATCACATGTAGTCATGTATGATGCATGTACTCCTAGTCGGTCCTCCGTTCTACGAAGTATTACGTAAGCATTCCAGCATTGCAGAAGCTAGCGGCTACTTAATCAATTCTATTCCCGGTCGTCCCGGTACAGTCACCCGCAATCAACCATTGGAAGCTAAGCGATTAATTAGTCTGTTAAAGCAAATTTAATTTGAAAATATATCACTTTGGTTCTTCTTTAATTTCAACATTAATGTGTTTTGTACTATAATACATGGTCATAAAATTAATGATTTATCGTATGCGTATACGTACTGCGCTTTCATACTGAGAAATGTATACGTACCGTGATTGTTTACCGTATCGATAACTTTCTGAAAACCAAGGTAATTGCCTTCTTCAATTTGTTGGTGACCTTGCCTTCTTCCAATATTGCTTCTGACAAAATTCTCCCGTTGTTTTGACACCTCGTCAAATTCATCGGCTCGAAACTGGTGGTAAACTCCATCTATAGGCTGAACAATGTCAGCTACTTTGCGGTTTAATTTCTTTAATCTCATGGATTCATAGAGCATATGAATGAAAACCAAAAAAGCAGATGCATTGGTATAATCCCTCTTTCGATCAATCATCCGGATTCTATACAATCTAGATATGCAAGAGCTGAATTGATTATTCCCTAACTCACCGTTTTGACAGCCCGTCTACCCTTGAACTTGCTTCTAAGGTCACCGTATGAAGCTTCAAAGGAAATTTGGAACAAAGAAAATCAGTTTTCCTCATCATTACGAAAGTTAGTTTGAATTACCGGTTCCAAGTCAACTTCATCTCTAAAATACCATACAATATTTTGGAAACGAATGCGATCAAATAAACATCCGTCCTTCTACCAACAAGAGTGATTTTGTGCTTCACTTCATTGGTTAAGTTGATGAGGAAATAATTTATTGGTTGGAGAATATCATCGAGTTTTTGAAGTGACAAAAATGGTATTTCGAAGTGAGTCTCATCCCCCAAATATTCCAAACATTTCTTGGGTAAATTTATTATAGTACCTACGATTTGTACAATAATTGAAGGTCCTTATTTGTAGTGGAAGAGGTTTCATTGGAAGCACTAGCAGCCATATCGATCTATTGGATTAAATTGAGATAGAGCTTAGTGGATATGGGTGCATATATAGCAGAGTAGTGGATGTATATTAAGAATGTTTTTTCAAGGACGATATAAGGAATATACGGTGCCGTATCGTGGGTAATTGAACCGAAGCCCTGCTGACCTGTGTAATGTATATCTGTATAATAAATCAACTGTCTGGTCGGTTTTGGGGGCCTCAGGGATGGAGTGTCATCCTTTTTTCTTTCTATAATAAATCAAGGCACAATACATCGAAAAATGTCAAAATTTAAGGAAAAAATACCTAGACTTCAATATTTAATTTATTTATATTAATAAATGAAGATATTTATATTTGTAATATAATTTAAAAAGTTTGTATATGCTTACGTACTCAGCGGGGCGACACGGGTCAATATTAACATCAGATGACCCATTCTATTCTATGGGCGGGGAGAGTGGACCCGTCCTGTTCTATGAGCAGGCTCCATTTACAAAACAGGGCGGAGTTGACGTGCCTCAAATGTCTCGTGGCAACGCGGGTCCTTGCTGGTTAGTTTTTATACATGCCTATCCGCAGGCCCACCAACCCAAGGAAACATCGATTTTCACTTTTCCTTTGACCGCCCGAAATCTCATGTGCGCGTGACGTAGGGAAAGAGCCTCATATTCATTTCAATGGTGTCTATTTTTTAAAATCATATACCACTTCTATGCATGGTTGATAATTTCACGTGTTCTTGATTTTCTACAAAGAATTTGAAATAAGAACTGATTATCAACAAAAAATGATCAAAGAACAATGAAATCTCTTAGACGCTCATTTGCTTTCACGATTGGTTGAAGGCACGACATAGAATTCAGGAAGTTTGCACCGCCCCCAAAAGCCACCTCATGGAGGAAACAACAACCAACGTTAACTCAAATTTCCAGCTAATTTTTACCGAATGAATTTAATGTTTGGAATTATTTGAAATATCAATTGAAGATAATTTCAATAAACATACATTGAATTTTTTATAGCACATATGAATAAATTAACAAAAAAAGTAAAAAAAATAACTAAATAAAATTTAGCCCGACTAGAGTCCGAACCGAAGCCTGACCGGGTAGCCAGTACCGAACCTTATTATTTGGACCCAGAGCCCACCTAATCTCGGCCCAGAGCCCGGCCCCCGACCCAGTCCACCCTTACTATTCTCAATTGTAATTTGCAAATATGTTATTAATACAAGCCACAATGTAATGTTTCAAATAAATATACATTATTTTTTGTAAATTAATTTTAACTTAAAAAAATTACAAGGTCCCGAACTGACCCGGGGCCAGACTGGGACCAGCCGGGAAAACTAGATAGAAACCGGGTACCGTAGTAGTCCGAGACAATTCCGGATCCGGGACTTCTGGAGCACCCACAATGACCCCACGCATCCATAATTTTGAGATCTTAATCAATTTACTTGTGTTTTTAATCACAACATTAAAAATATTATTTTCTTTTTGTTAAATTTGCTCTTCAAGGTCAAGGGAATTATATGCATGAATATTTATAACACATGAAATTTTAGTGCATTTTTAAAATCACAAATACCTAGAGCAAATATTATCATGAGGAGGTTTGATACATCAAACTTCAAACTACATTTTATAAGGGTTGGATAACTCTGCCCAGACATGGCTAACCTGAAACCTTTTTCACAAAACTAAATTAAGACAATTAATTAATTAATGATTAATAATGCATTACAATGAGAGTCAATATAACCTTAACATGATGTCTTTCAAGTGCCCAAAATAGTGGAAATAGCCCTATTGAAACTAAACAGCGTCATGCACATAGTACCTCATCACTCATCAAAACGAATTTCTGAACACTGAGAAGAAAACAAGATAACAGGAGTTTATGAAACATCATAAAAAAATGAAGGGCCATACCGGATATGATGTCAACTCCAGATCCCAATACTGAGAGAATTGAGGTGAACAAGAAATGCTAATCTAATCTCCCCTTCATCAATTAATTGCCTTTCTCACTCCAATTGCATAGAAAGGAGTAAATAAGGGGGCATAGTGCTTCCATCTATCATTGAATGAACAGGCCTAAACGAATTCAAATGATTCCATGTTAAAAATGAAAAAAAAGGTATGGAAAAGAGTAAAGTATATATACTATGTTTATTTAGCTTACCAGCCCCTCCAATGATCATTTTTGGTAATTAGACACCATATGTTATACTACGTATATATTTTTCTTTCTAATTGTGTTTGTACTGAAATTCCCCACAAGTATATATATGGAGATGATAATTATGTGTGTGTGTGTTTTGTATATGTATACTAAATAATATATTACTAGTTTTGATATGTGTGTTGTGAGTGTTGTGCGACTAAACAAATGCCCAATATTATTTGTTTTGCAAAACATTTTCACAAAAGAATATATTTATGATAGAAATAGAAGTCCATTGGGTGAAACCTTTAAGAAACAAGCAAGTGAAAAAGGGTTCAATTTGTGAAAGAGATATATTTCCTTTACATATCAATATATATGTAAATGGGTTCACGACCTTGTGTATATATTGGCAATGTTTAGTAAATGGCGTTTAAGCCAAAAATTGGTTGGTTTGACTTAAATTGGCGTTTTCAATCGGTCAAAAATGCTGAAATTAGGTGTTTGGCAGTTGACGGGTTAGTATAGCGTTTTGGTCCAAAACGCCTAAACGAGAAACGCTACAAAGTGGAGCGTTTACTAGGGGTGTTCACAATTCGGTAAACCGACCGAACTAATCCGATACCGTAATTTCGGTACGTACCAAATAACGAACCGAAATTTCAGTTCGGTAAATCGTTAATCGGTACGTATAATTTTGGAAATTCGGTATTCAGTTAGGTTTATATATAAATATTTTGGTTTTCGGTATGTACCGAATACCGAAATAAATAAAATAATAAATATTAAATATATAATATATTTTAGCCATAAATATATAAATATATGTATGTATATATATATATATGTTTAGTTATGTAGCACATATATATATATATATATATATATATATATATATATATATATATATATATATATATATATATATATATATATATATATATATATATATATATGACTCCCTATTTCCATCATTTGCAATGGAGCCAAAGATTCATTATTTTTTGGCTTGAGATTATGATGGAATAAAGCAAAATGGCTCACTAAATTGTCCGCGCTTCTTTGTTATGAAGCAGCAATCATTCCATGCAATTTTGGACGGGATTTTCACGATGGGTCATTCGGAAACAGTCTCTCTGTGCTTTAGTACAGGGGTAAGGCTGCGTACATCCGACCCCCCTTACCCCACCGTAGGTGGGAGCCTTTGCGGCACTGGGGTAAATGAAAATGAATGAATATATATATGACTCCCTCCGTCCCGCTAAGATGTTCCCGTTTTACCTTTTCGGGAAATCCCATTAAGATTGTCCCATACGGCTATACCAAATATTGTAAAGCTTGTGTGGCTCTAAATTAAATCATTTTTAGTTTATTCTTATTTTATCAATTTAATATCAACCACACAAATCGACTTTTCTTAATAATCGTACCACCTTTTCTTGACCCAATCTTAGTGGGACATAGGTAGTAAGTATTAATATATTTATGTGTCTGATAATTTAAAGGGGTGTTATGCTATGTTGTAAAATTTGGATCGGGAAATGACCCGCCCACATAACCGGCGCACCGATCAACCCGGGCCTTGTGCTCCCTCCGGTCCTAAATAATCTTCATGGTTTGACTTTATGGTTTTTAAGAAAGTGGAATTTTTTGTTTTGACTTTCCCATCATATCCCTACAAAAAATAGATAAAGTATAGTGGGAGAGAGAAAGTGATTGTAAAGCAGATAATAAGTAATACTCCCTCCGTCCCCCTACTATTGGTACAACATCTTCAACTTGGAAGGATTGGGAGGAGGAGAGATGGGCTGCACATTTTTGCTCCCAGATGTTCTCAGATGATGGCCTTTGGTTATTTCAAAAGACCAAGGTACTGATGCGGAATAGTTTCTTACGAGTATATAGTATATTCCCCCAGGTCACTTTTACTCTTCTGCTCTTTTATTAACCAATACAAAAAGAGCTGGGAAATCTGTTCGTATTAATACAGCTACTCTTTTGCATCATGAACTAACCAACCTTCAAATGTGGGAGCTATAATCCGATGCAATTATTACGATACCATATTGATTTGGTGGTTTTTCATTTTCATTTTTTTCATTTTCATCCTAATTGATAACTCATATCAAATATCAATACAAGTGTTCATTAATATGAGACCTATTAATAGATAGCATGGAGAAAGGTAGTAATTTGATTCAACATACCGAATTGTTTTATATGAAATTAGAAAAGTAAGGCCTAAAATTTCTCTTGGATTGCATGTTTTTTCTTGAGGTCTTTCAGGATGAAGGAATGTTAAATAGTGTATTGTTTGTAGGTATAAATGTTAAAAACTAGAGTAACTAGCACACAACTGTCACACTAGAAACCATAAGATGGATGAACTTAAAGACCGGTTACTAATAAGCTCTCTGATACATCTGTATTTATATTGGCATGGCAAACTCACTATAGAATAAATGTCATTTGACATAGGTTCACAAGTCATTACACTTGTGAGCTTATATAATTTGAGTTGCTTTTAGAACATCCTTTCATTTTTACTCTGCCATGATTTGCCAAATGCAGAAAGAAAATCTGTTGAAAGGCTTGTTGCATCCACTGAGAAAGATTCTGTCTAGGATTTTGGTATAGAAAAGGTTCCTTTTTAGCTTTACTCATTTTTTCTTTTTAAATCAATTTAATCTCCTTTGCCCACACGTTATTTGGTTTATTTTTATTCTGTTATTGAACTGCTCCAATGATCTAAATCACAAATCGAATTAAAATAATTTGTTTTGTTTACAACACTTACTCTGTATGATACTTCTGATTTATTAGAAATTGCCTTGGAATGTGTATACGCAAGTGTATATATGGGCCCCACTTTCAGATTATAGCTAGCTTTCAAAAGATATTATAGTGTTATTACTACTATTATTACTATTACTATTAATATTATTATTACTATTATAACTTTTATTATTAAGCGAATATATTTTATTAAGATTCGAATTGAATATACTTATATTTTTATTTGTATTTGATAACAATTCGAATCAAATTCAGTAATCTTATTTGTATTTGGATTTTTCAAATTCGAATCGTCTTATACGAATTCGAATCCCGAAAACCGAGCATAAATTATTTGATTCGTATACAAATCTGTGTGGCTATGAACAAAGTCGAAGGCTTCAATCGCTAAGAATGGTCATATTTTTTTAACTCCCGAGGTCGGGGGAGGGGGACTGGGGAGCCTGGAGTACTCAGGGTTTAAACTCACTCCATTGAGTTTCAAACCCTTGTGTGCCTAGCAGGATTCGAACTTGAGACCCCCTACTAGCACGATAACCTCACAACCAGTTGAATGGTCATAATAAATATTCTATTCTATTAATATTCATGTGTCCTTTAATCTAATAAATTCTTCTTCTTCTCCTTCTTAGATTGCCATTGATTAAACTCTCCTTACTGGAAGCTCTTTCTGCTGAAGTGTTCTTATCAAATGGTTTTTTGATAAGCTGTACTTCCGGTGATTTTCTTGAGTGTGCTGTAGAAATTATGGCATAGTTGACGCATATGAGCGGGAGAATCTGCACCGGTGCGGGCGAGAACAGGCCTCAAAAGATTTTTTTTCGTCTAGAGCGGTAGACTGGGGAACAAGCCAAAGAGCGGGAGGCGCAGATGCTATGTTTTGTATCGGGGAGGTGAAGTAATGCGGCTGTGAGAAAGCTGTGAATGGGAGGAAGGTGAATTAGGCGTTAACCTAGGCTGAGAGAAAGTACTTATTTAGCGATAATTATGTGATGATTGATGAATGAATGTGCCGGAGAAATTTCTCTCTCAGTCTCTCCTATGTATATAAACACATAAGCGGTTCCGTATTTGTTTATTAATCACGTATACGGTTCCGCCACGCTTGAACCCCAAATCTCTTCGCCTGTTTCTTCCCTCTCCCGTTTGTTGACTCTTTTCCTCTTTTACGTTGGTTATGACCATGGCTAAGCAAAAGACTGAAAGATGAATGGGAGGAACAGAGGGCAGCACATGCATGCGATCTATTTCCAAAGGAATGTGATTTCCTTAGGGTTTGTTCCTGCCTGGAGTGCCTGCAGAAAATAAAGATGCTCATGGATTTTGAAGAAGAGATGAAGTCTAGGCGAATCCAATAAAAGGTATGATGAAAACACAAACATATAAATCGAACACATGCTTTTGGTTGAACTGTTGGCTACAAATACTGCCTTTTCTTTAAACAGGAATGTTTGTTTAGGCTGCAAGGCATGCATACTCATCGTGTGGACTTTCAACTGTCCTTGAGTGGACGAGAAAGAACTTTGATTTGCTTCATAAAGTTCTTGAGCGGGTATCCTAGGAAATGATACCTTCTTATTTCAAACACGATTAATTTGGTAAACTTTCTAATGATTATTTTGGGTTGTTTCAGAACTCTGGGGCCTTGTTGACACGAGAAGAAATCAACTTGGCTGCTGACTTGAAAGCGAGAGATTTGGAAAGTCACATTGCTATTAAACAATTGCGTTCTTGATAGTTTTGCCGATGAAATTGATCATCTTAAATATGAGATTTCTGTTGCGGATCAGATTGATCATGGGGTAAGATGATAGCCATATCAGCCATAGATTTTTTCTATTAGAACATTAATGCTTAATTATCTGTCTTTTGAACAGTTAATCTACCACTTTCTTGCTAAACTTTAACCTTGGCAGCTTGGCTTAAGTAACAACAATAAAATGCAATTTAGCCCAATGAATACTTTCATAGATTAGACTTTGCTATGAACATATAAGTATGTAACTTGATTTTCTGTTTTTTATTTGTTTTTGTTCCTTGGTTCTTTGCCTTGTTGCTTGGTCAATTTAGTCCCACTATGGCACTATGTATTAAGTTTTTGTTTCCAACCTTTCTTTGTCGACTTTTGACAGCTATTTTTTTACAAACGAACCAAATTTTTGGGAGGATGCCTCTCCTCATCTTAAAAGGAGATACAAAAAGAGACATGGTCAAGAAATCTGTTGAAGAAGACCACAAAGAGCTGGACCACTTATTTCTCGAGAATTGCATAAAAGAGCAAATTGAGGTATCTAAGCTGCCACATTCATACTTAAATCATAACTAGCGACTTGTGCCAACGTATTGGTGTATTATTACATATGTTTAATTGTTTTGCTATGATTGCATATGTGTAATTAGTTAGAGTTATATAAATATGAATACTTTTGGTTAATAAAACCAATCTAATAGAAATTTGATAGTTTGCACACAATCAACAACAACAAATACATCCAAGCCTTAATCTCAAAAGAATTTGGGGTCGGCTAACATGAATCAATCTATAATATCGATGTCAAACAGAGAAGTGTGAGCTCATGAGTTTTCTGGATGATTTTCGAGGCTACCACCAGTTATTTATTGGAATAAATCAATGGCTCTTTCCCTACGTATCGCGCACATGAGATTTCGGGCGGTCATACCAAAAGTTAAAATTGATGTTTCCTTGGTGGGTGGGCCTGCGGATAGGCATGTATAAAAACCAACATGCATTTGGGTAGGTCAATCCCGCCTTGCCCCGAGACATTTGGGGTAGGTCAACCCTGCCCCGTTTTGTAAATGGGGCCCGCTCATAGAACAGAACAGGTCCACCCCCGCCCATAGATCAGGACGGATCATCTGATATTAATACTGACCCGTGTCGCCCCGCTCAGTCTCGTCTCGCCGAGTATGTAAGCATACACAAACTTTTTAAATGATACTACGTACTACAAATATAAATATGCGTACATACATGTGTGTATAATAAATCATAAGTTTCATAGCCTTGTAATATACTATATATAATATTTATATTTGAATGAGATGAATGAACATTCATTGTCGTTGTCTTTTTTAAATTTAGCATTTTATATCTTGATTTATTAATATATATAAATAAATTATTGTAGTCTGGGTACTTTCTTAAATTTTGATATTTTTCGGTGTATTATGTCTTGATTTATTGTTCGTAAAAATGATGACACCCCATCCCTGAGGATCCCCCACACCGACCAGACAGTTGATTTTATTATATGGAGTATACATTACACAGGTCAGCAGTGCTCCAGTTTAATTACCCAATATACGATACCGTATATTCCTAATATTCTTTATATGGTCTTTTAAAAAAAATTCTTAATACCCACCCATTACTCTGCTATATATACACCCATTTCTACTCAACTCTCTATCAATCCCATCTAATAGATTGATATGATTGCAAATGCTTTCAATGAATCCTCTCCACTATAATAACCACCTTTAATTATTGAATAGATGACAATCGTAGGTACAATAATAAATTTATTCAAGAATACATGGAATATTTAGGAGATGAGACTCACTTCGAAATACCTGTTTTGCTACTTCAAAAACCCAATGATATTCTCCGGCTTAAAAATTATTTCCTCATCAACTTAACCAATGAAGTGAAGCACACAAAATCACTCTTGTTAGTAGGAGCACAGATGTTTATTTGATCGTATTCGTTTCCCAAAATAGTGTATGGTATTTCAGAATTAAAGTTGACTTACTCCGGTAATGCATACCATCTTTCGTAATGATAAAAAACCCGATTTTCTTTGTTCCAAATTCCCCTTGAAGCTTCATACGGTGACCTTCAGAACAAGTTCAAGGGTAGAGGGCCCTGTCAAGACTGTGACTTAGGAAATAATCAATTCAGCTCTTGTATATTTAAACTCTATAGAATCCGGATTATTGATTGTGAGAGGGATTATACCATTGCATCTGCTTTTTTGGTTTTCATTCAAATGCTCTCTTAATCCATGAGGTTAAAGAAATTTAACCGCAAAGTAACCGACATTGTTCAGTCTATAGATGGAGTTTACCACCAGTTTCGAGCCGATGAATTTGACAGAGTTGTCAAAACATTTGGAGAATTTTGTCAGAAGCAATATTGAAAAAAGATAAGGTCACCATCAAGTTGTAGAAGACAATTACCTTGTGTTTTCAGAAAGTTATCGTTACGGTAGGTATTGACATATACATATACATCATATTTTCACCGCTCATTCTTAAATACACACACAAATTCGTAAGCAACAACATCACATGTAGTCATGTATGATGCATGTACTCCTAGTCGGTCCTCCGTTCTACGAAGTATTACGTAAGCATTCCAGCATTGCAGAAGCTAGCGGCTACTTAATCAATTCTATTCCCGGTCGTCCCGGTACAGTCACCCTCCATCAACCATTGGAAGCTAAGCGATTAATTAGTCTGTTAAAGCAAATTTAATTTGAAAATATATCACTTTGGTTCTTCTTTAATTTCAACATTAATGTGTTTTGTACTATAATACATGGTCATAAAATTAATGATTTATCGTATGCGTATACGTACTGCGCTTTCATACTGAGTAATGTATACGTACCGTGATTGTTTACCGTATCGATAACTTTCTGAAAACCAAGGTAATTGCCTTCTTCAACTTGTTGGTGACCTTGCCTTCTTCCAATATTGCTTCTGACAAAATTCTCTCGTTGTTTTGACACCTCGTCAAATTCATCGGCTCGAAACTGGTGGTAAACTCCATCTATAGGCTGAACAATGTCAACTACTTTGCGGTTTAATTTCTTTAATCTCATGGATTCATAGAGCATATGAATGAAAACCAAAAAAGCAGATGCAATGGTATAATCCCTCTTACGATCAATCATCCGGATTCTATACAATCTAGATATGCAAGAGCTGAATTGATTATTCCCTAACTCACCGTTTTGACAGCCCGTCTACCCTTGAACTTGCTTCTAAGGTCACCGTATGAAGCTTCAAAGGAAATTTGGAACAAAGAAAATCAGTTTTCTTCATCATTACGAAAGTTAGTTTGAATTACCGGTTCCAAGTCAACTTCATCTCTAAAATACCATACAATATTTTGGAAACGAATGCGATCAAATAAACATCCGTCCTTCTACCAACAAGAGTGATTTTGTGCTTCACTTCATTGGTTAAGTTGATGAGGAAATAATTTTTAGGTTGGAGAATATCATCGAGTTTTTGAAGTGACAAAAATGGTATTTCGAAGTGAGTCTCATCCCCCAAATATTCCAAACATTTCTTGGGTAAATTTATTATAGTACCTACGATTTGTACAATAATTGAAGGTCCTTATTTGTAGTGGAAGAGGTTTCATTGGAAGCACTAGCAGCCATATCGATGTATTGGATGAAATTGAGATAGAGCTGAGTGGATATGGGTGCATATATAGCAGAGTAATGGATGTATATTAAGAATGTTTTTTCAAGGACGATATAAGGAATATACGGTGCCGTATCGTGGGTAATTGAACCGAAGCCCTGCTGACCTGTGTAATGTATATCTGTATAATAAATCAACTGTCTGGTCGGTTTTGGGGGCCTCAGGGATGGAGTGTCATCCTTTTTTCTTTCTATAATAAATCAAGGCACAATACATCGAAAAATGTCAAAATTTAAGGGAAAAATACCTAGACTTCAATATTTAATTTATTTATATTAATAAATGAAGATATTTATATTTGTAATATAATTTAAAAAGTTTGTATATGCTTACGTACTCAGCGGGGCGACACGGGTCAATATTAACATCAGATGACCCATTCTATTCTATGGGCGGGGAGAGTGGACCCGTCCTGTTCTATGAGCAGGCTCCATTTACAAAAGAGGGCGGAGTTGACGTGCCTCAAATGTCTCGTGGCAACGCGGGTCCTTGCAGGCTAGTTTTTATACATGCCTATCCGCAGGCCCACCAACCCAAGGAAACATCAATTTTCACTTATCCTTTGACCGCCCGAAATCTCATTTGCGCGTGACGTAGAGAAAGAGCCTCATATTCATTTCAATGGTGTCTATTTTTTAAAATCATATACCACTTCTATGCATGGTTGATAATTTCACATGTTCTTGATTTTCTACAAAGAATTTGAAACGAAAAACTGATTTTCAACAAAAAATGATCAAAGAACAAAGAAATCTCTTAGACGCTCATTTGCTTTCACGATTGGTTGAAGGCACGACATAGAATTCAGGAAGTTTGCACCGCCCCCAAAAGCCACCTCATGGAGGAAACAACAACCAACGTTAACTCAAATTTCCAGCTAATTTTTACCGAATGAATTTAATGTTTGGAATTATTTGAAATATCAATTGAAGATAATTTCAATAAACATACATTGAATTTTTTTATAGCACATATGAATAAATTAACAAAAAAAGTAAAATAAATAAATAAATAAAATTTAGCCCGACTAGAGTCCGAACCGAAGCCTGACCGGGTAGCCAGTATCGAGCCTTATTTTTTGGACCCAGAGCCCACCTAATCTCGGCCCAGAGCCCGGCCCCCGACCCAGTCCACCCTTACTATTCTCAATTGTAATTTGCAAATATGTTATTAATACAAGCCACAATGTAGTGTTTCAAATAAATATACATTATTTTTTGTAAATTAATTTTAACTTGAAAAAATTACAAGGTCCCGAACCGACTCGGGGCCAGACTGGGACCAGCCGGGAAAACTAGATAGAAACCGGGTACCGTAGTAGTCTGAGACAATTCCGGATCCGGGACTTCTGGAGCACCCACAATGACCGCACGCATCCAAAATTTTGAGATCTTAATCAATTTACTTGTGTTTTTAATCACAACATTAAAAATATTATTTTCTTTTTGTTAAATTTGCTCTTCAAGGTCAAGGGAATTATATGCATGAATATTTATAACACATGAAATTTTAGTGCATTTTTAAAATCACAAATACCTAGAGCAAATATTATCATGAGGAGGTTTGATACATCAAACTTCAAACTACATTTTATAAGGGTTGGATAACTTTGCCCAGACATGGCTAATCTGAAACCTTTTTCACAAAACTAAATTAAGATAATTTATTAATTAATGATTAATAATGCATTACCATGAGAGTCAATATAACCTTAACATGATGTCTTTCAAGTGCCCAAAATAGTGGAAATAGCCCTATTGAAACTAAACAGCGTCATACACATAGTACCTCATAACTCATCAAAACGAATTTCTGAACACTGAGAAGAAAACAAGATAACAGGAGTTTATGAAACATCATAAAAAAATGAAGGGCCATATTGGATATGATGTCAACTCCAGATCCCAATACTGAGAGAATTGACGTGAACAAGAAATGCTAATCTAATCTCCCCTTCATCAATTAATTGCCTTTCTCACTCCAATTGCCTTTCTCACTACGTATATATTTTTCTGTCTAATTGTCTATGTACTGAAATTCCCCACAAGTATATATATGGAGATGATAATTATGTATGTGTGTGTTTTGTATATGTATAATAAATAATAAATTACTAGTTTTGATATGTGTGTTGTCAGTGTTGTGCGACTAAACAAATGCCCAATATTATTTGTTTTGCAAAACATTTTCACAAAAGAATATATTTATAATAGAAATAGAAGTCCATTGGGTGAAACCTTTAAGAAACAAGCAAGTGAAAAAGGGTTCAATTTGTGAAAGAGATATATTTCCTTTACATATCAATATATATGTAAATGGGTTCACGACCTTGTGTATATATTGGCAATGTTTAGTAAATGGCGTTTCAGCCAAAAATTGGTTGGTTTGACTTAAATTGGCGTTTTCAATCGGTCAAAACGCTGAAATTAGGTGTTTGGCAGTTGACGGGTTAGTATAGCGTTTTGGTCCAAAACGCCTAAACGAGAAACGCTACAAAGTGGAGCGTTTACTAGGGGTGTTCACAATTCGGTAAACCGACCGAACTAATCCGATTTCGTAATTTCGGTACGTACCAAATAACGAACCGAAATTTCAGTTCGGTAAATCGGTAATCGGTACGTATAATTTTGAAAATTCGGTATTCAGTTAGGTTTATATATAAATATTTTGGTTTTCGGTATGTACCGAATACCGAAATAAATAAAATAATAAATATTAAATATATAATATACTTTAGCCATAAATATATAAATATATGTATATATATATATATACATATATATATATATATATATGACTCCCTATTTCCATCATTTGCAATGGAGCCAAAGATTCATTATTTTTTGGCTTGAGATTATGATGGAATAAAGCAAAATGGCTCACTAAACTGTCTGCGCTTCTTTGTTATGAAGCAGCAGTCAGTCCATGCAATTTTGGACGGGATTTTCACGATGGGTCATTCGGAAACAGTCTCTCTGTGCTTTAGTACAGAGGTAAGGCTGCGTACATCCGACCCCCCCTTACCCCACCGTAGGTGGGAGCCTTTGCGGCATTGGGGTAAATGAAAATGAATGAATATATATATGACTCCCTCCGTCCCGCTAAGATGTTCCCGTTTTACCTTTTCGGGAAATCCCATTAAGATTGTCCCATACGGCCATACCAAATATGGTAAAGCTTGTGTGGCTCTAAATTAAATCATTTTTAGTTTATTCTTACTTTATCAATTTAATATCAACCACACAAATCGACTTTTCTTAATAATCGTACCACCTTTTCTTGACCCAATCTTAGTGGGACATAGGTAGTAAGTATTAATATATTTATATGTCTGATAATTTAAAGGGGTGTTATGCTATGTTGTAAAATTTGGATCGGGAAACGACCTGCCCACATAACCGGCACACCGATCAACCCGGGCCTTGTGCTCCCTCTGGTCCTAAATAATCTTCATGGTTTGACTTTATGGTTTTTAAGAAAGTGGAATTTTTTGTTTTGACTTTCCCATCATATCCCTACAAAAAATAGATAAAGTATAGTGGGAGAGAGAAAGTGATTGTAAAGCAGATAATAAGTAATACTCCCTCCGTCCCCCTACTATTGTAAAGCAGTATAGTATTGGTACAACATCTTCAACTTGGAAGGATTGGTAGGAGGAGAGATGGGCTGCACATTTTTGCTCCCACATGTTCTCAGATGATGGGCTTTGGTTATTTCAAAAGACCAAGGTACTGATGCGGAATAGTTTCTTACGAGTATATAGTATATTCCCCCAGGTCACTTTTACTCTTCTGCTCTTTTATTAACAAATACAAAAAGAGCTGGGAAATCTGTTCGTATTAATACAGCTACTCTTTTGCATCATGAACTAACCAACCTTCAAATGTGGGAGCTATAATCCTATGCAATTATTACTATACCATATTGATTTGGTGGTTTTTCATTTTCATTTTTTTCATTTTCATCCTAATTGATAACTCATATCAAATATCAATACAAGTGTTCATTAATATGAGACCTATTAATAGATAGCATGGAGAAAGGTAGTAATTTGATTCAACATACCGAATTGTTTTATATGAAATTAGAAAAGTAAGGCCTAAAATTTCTCTTGGATTGCATGTTTTTTCTTGAGGTCTTTCATGATGAAGGAACGTTAAATAGTGTATTGTTTGTAGGTATAAATGTTAAAAACTAGAGTAACTAGCACACAACTGTCACACTAGAAACCATAAGATGGATGAACTTAAAGACCGGTTACTAATAAGCTCTCTGATAGATCTGCATTTATATTGGCATGGCAAACTCACTATAGAATAAATGTCATTTGACATAGGTTCACAGGTCATTACACTTGTGAGCTTATATAATTTTAGTTGCTTTTAGAACTTCCTTTCATTTTTACTCTGCCATGATTTGCCAAATGCATAAAGAAAATCTGTTGAAAGGCTTGTTGCATCCATTGAGAAAGATTCTGTCTAGGATTTTGGTATAGAAAAGGTTCCTTTTTAGCTTTACTCATTTTTTCTGTTTAAATCAATTTAATCTCCTTTGCCCACACGTTAGTTGGTTTATTTTTATTCTGTTATTGAACTGCTCCAATGATCTAAATCACAAATCGAATTAAAATAATTTGTTTTGTTTACAACACTTACTCTGTATGATACTTCTGATTTATTAGAAATTGCCTTGGAATGTGTATACGCAAGTGTATATATGGGCCCCACTTTCAGATTATAGCTAGCTTTCAAAAGATATTATAGTGTTATTACTACTATTATTACTATTACTATTAATATTATTATTACTATTATAACTATTATTATTAAGTGAATATATTTTATTAACATTCGAATTGAATATACTTATATTTTTATTTGTATTTGATAACAATTCGAATCAAATTTAGTATTCTTATTTGTATTTGTATTTGGATTTTTCAAATTCAAATCGTCTTATACGAATTCGAATCCCGAAAACCGAGCATAAATTATTTGATTCGTATACAAATCTATGTGTGGCTATGAACAAAGTCGAAGGCTTCAATCGCTAAGAATGGTCATACTTTTTTAACTCCCGAGGTCGGGGGAGGGGGACTGGGGAGCCTGGAGTACTCAGGGTTGAAACTCACTCCATTGAGTTTTAAACCCTTGTGTGCCTAGCAGGATTCGAACTTGAGACCCCCTACTAGCACGATAACCTCACAACCAGTTGAATGGTCATAATAAATATTCTATTCTATTAATATTCATGTGTCCTTTAATCTAATAAATTCTTCTTCTTCTCCTTCTTAGATTGCCATTGATTAAACTCTCCTTACTGGAAGCTCTTTCTGCTGAAGTGTTCTTATCAAATGGTTTTTTGATAAGGTGTACTTCCGGTGATTTTCTTGAGTGTGCTGTAGAAATTATGGCATAGTTGACGCATATGAGCGGGAGAATCTGCACCGGTGCGGGCGAGAACAGGCCTCAAAAGATTTTTTTTCGTCTAGAGCGGTAGACTGGGGAACAAGCCAAAGAGCGGGAGGCGCAGATGCTATGTTTTGTATCGGGGAGGTGAAGTAATGCGGCTGTGAGAAAGCTGTGAATGGGAGGAAGGTGAATTAGGCGTTAACCTAGGCTGAGAGAAATTATGCAAAAAGAGACGTGGTCAAGAAATCTGTTGAAGAAGACCACAAAGAGATGTATCACTTATTTCTCGAGAATTGCATAAAAGAGCAAATTGAGGTATCTAAGCTGCCACATTCATACTTAAATCATAACTAGCGACGTACGCACTATGTGCGACTTGTGCCAACGTATTGGTGAATTATTACATATGTTTAATTGTTTTGCTATGATTGCATATGTGTAATTAGTTAGAGTTATATAAATATGAATACTTTTTGTTAATAAAACCAATCTAATAGAAATTTGATAGTTTGCACACAATCAACAACAACAAACACATCCAAGCCTTAATCCCAAAAGAATTTGGGGCGGCTAACATGAATCAATCTATAATATCGATGTCAAACAGAGAAGACAGTCAAGAAAAGAAAAAAAAAGAAAAGAAAAGGAAAAAAAAAAGAAAAAGAAAAAAGGAAGATAAAATGGATAAATAAAGATAAGAAAATATAAGATAACAATAACATAAGAATATAAGAAAGATAAAATATATAAAAGGATAAAAGAGCATAAAAAAGCTAGAAGATAAAAATAACATAAGAATACAAAAAAATAAAGAAGATAAACGGTAAAAGAAAACAAGAAGAAAGGTAGAAAAAACATCAATCGTCCACAGATGTGCGCCCTCCACTTTGCTCTCTCCAAAGCCATACTCTCATCCAACCCAAGAAGATGCATATCAGTTCTAATTCCTCTAATCGAAGTCTGTTTGGGTCTTCATCTCCCTCTCTTCTTTGCCTCTTCTCCCCATCACTCAAGTCGTCTAACAAATGCATCACTCGGTCTTCTACGCACATGCACAAATCATCGCAATCGAGACTCCTGCATTCTATCTTCAATAAGTGATACACCCACCTTTTGTCTGATTATCTCATTCCTCAAGCGGTCTTTTCTGGTATGTCCACACATCCAACACAACATACACATATCTGCCACCCTCATCTTTTGAATGTGACATTGCTTCACCGCCCAACACTCTACGCCATACATTAAAGCAGCCCTAATTGCTATTTGATAAAATTGACATTTCAGTTTTGTCGGCATACATTGATCGCATATGAGTCCTGATGCACTCTTCCATTTCATCCATGAGGTTCCGATTCTATGACATACATCTCCATCTAATTCATCATCCTTTTGAATTATGGAGTCTAAGTAACAGAACATATCTCACACAGGTATCTCATTATCATCACGAGTAATCTCCTTGTTGCTACTACTTCTACCTCCACCAAACATGCATCCCATATACTCAGTCTTCCTTCGGCTCAATCTGATATCCTTGGCCTCCAATGTTTGTCGCCACACTTCCAACTTTGCTTTAACATTGGATTGCGTCTCATTGATCAATACAATATCGTTGGCAAACATCATGCACCACAATATATCTTCTTGAATTGACATCGTAAATTCATCCATCATCATTTTCATTTACCCCAGTGCCGCAAAGGCTCCCACCTACGGTGGGGTAAGGGGGGGTCGGATGTACGCAGTCTTACCCCTGTACTAAAGCACAGAGAGAATGTTTCCGGATGACCCATAGTGAAAATCGCGTCCAAGATTGCATGCACTGACTGCTGCTCCATAACAAAGAAGCGCAGACAGTTTAGTGAGCCATTTTGCTTTATTCCATCATAATCTCAAGCCAAAAAATAATGAATCTTTGGCTCCATTGTAAATTCATCCATGAGTATAGAAAATAAGAAAGGACTCAAGGCAGATCGTTGGCGCACTCCGATAATAATAGGGAACTTTGCGGTCCTCCCTACACTAGTGCAGACACTTGTAGTACAAGCATCATACATATCCATGATGGTACTGATATACTTACGTGATATGCCTTTTCTAATTAAGGCCCACCAAAGGACATCTCGAGGTACCCTATCATATGCCTTTTCTAAGTCAATGAACACCAAATGCATATCCTTTTTAGCGTCTCTATACTTCTCCATAACTTGTCTAAGAAGGTGAATGACCTCAGTTGTTGAGTGTCCTGACCTAAAACCAAACCGGTTCTCCAAAATTTTCACATTTTTCAAAGTCTTTCTCAACCACTCGCTCCCACAGTTTCATGGTGTGACTCATAAGCTTAATTCCTCGATATAGTTGACACATTCTTGTACATCACCCTTATTTTTAAATAGGGGAATGAGAGTACCCTTCCGCCAACTCACTGACATTTTGTTGTTTCTCCAAATCATGTTGAAGAAACGTGTTAGCCACCCATTGCCTTTCTCTCCCAAACTTCTCTAAGCCTCGATTGGTATGCCTTTTGGACACACTACTTTCTTCCGCCCCATTTTTCTCATAGCCTCTTTAGCTTCTGTTGTTTGAATCCTTCTCACGAAGTCCCGATTTACCGTACACTCTGGTTTTTCCCTTGCTCTTGTTTTTCTTGGCTTTGAACTTGTTGCTTCTGCCACCAGGATTCCCCTCGGCGTTTCCGACATTTGGGTCAACATGTTTCCTTTTACCCTTTGTTTCTTCTTTCTCTCTTTCTTCATCGTCTCTCTTCCTCTGCTCGGCATCTTCAGCTTCACCTTGGCGATCTACACGCTGCAGAGCTTCCTTGTACAAGGTGGGCAGCAGATACCTGATGAAATGCAAAATTTTTCTCTGAAATTGCCATCTCGATGGCATAAATGATACATGTTGGGAATTTCTTTTAGGTGGTCGGAGCTGATGGTGCTAGAAGGTTGTTGAGGTGGCAGTAGAGGCTTGTACTTTTTTTTTACGTTTTCTATTGCTTTTATTTTATTTTTTAAAGTTTTTTAGTTTTTATCATTTTTGTTTTTATAACTTTTATCTTTATTAGTTTTATGTATTATTTATTTTCATGTTTTTTATTTTTTTCTTACATTTTTATTATAAATAAAGTTATTTTGTTACATTTATATTAACACAAATCAAGGGTATGATTGAAAAGGTAGTCCTATTTAGGAAATTTTAAAGCTATGTTCCTATTCCAGCAATTAACGTTTCATTTAGTCATATTTGGAAAATTTTCTCAAATGTCAATTGACTCATGCAAACTTCTCGATTCAAATTTACATGGTGATTGGTGATTTAATATGCTTATAAATACGAAGTATAACTTATATCGATAATGAATCTGGAATATTAGATTTGATAAATTTGAACTAAATGTGCAATACCATATAAAGGAAAAATGAGGTGGTATTTTTGTAAATAAAATGAACTTTTTGTGCTGTTGAAAATTGCGCTTTATATTAACATAAAAAGTGCATCACCATCATACTAAATGTGCACGGTGTTGCGTCATACAAATTTTTCACAGGAAGAATCATTATCACCTTTTCCCATCATTTGCAATGGAGGCAAAGATTCATTATATTTTGGCTTGAGATTATGATGGAATAAAGCAAAATGACTCACTGCCCTAAATAAGGCGTGCCCCATTGATCCATTACCTCTGCCCAATAGGAATCAACTTGTTAATGCGACAACAAAGTGTGAGCTCATGAGTTTTCTGGATGATTTTCGAGGCTACCACCAGTTATTTATTGGAATAAATCAGTGGCTCTTTCCCTACGTATCGCGCACATGAGATTTCGGGCGGTCATACCAAAAGTTAAAATTGATGTTTCCTTGGTGGGTGGGCCTGCGGATAGGCACGTATAAAAACCAACATGCATTTGGGTAGGTCAATCCCGCCTTGCCCCGAGACATTTGGGGTAAGGAACACACATGTAAGTTGAAGAATTATAAGCTGATTTTAGTAGAAGATTCAGAGGGTGAGGAGGACCAGGAAGGGACAACAACAGAATTGGCTGAGGAAGAGGAGATTAATATGGAGTCTAAAACCATGCAATTATCCTTCATAAACCAAGAAGGAAAACCCTCCATGAGGGCTTTTAGGGTTCAGGGGATTCTGAAATGGGCCAAGGGAGAGAAGCTAGTGGATGTTCTAATTGATAGTGGGGCCTCACACAACTTCATATCCCAGAAAGTGGTAGAGCAGATAACCCTCCCTTACCAGATCGTTGCTGGCTACCAAGTGCAGCTTGGGAATGGTGATAGGGTCTTCAACAAGGGCAGGTGTGAAAAACTCATTCTGAGCTTGCAGGGAGCTGTCATTCAACAAGATTTCTACATGCTGGAGTTGGAGGGAGCTGACTTGGTTCTTGGCATGGATTGGTTGACTGGATTATGGGATGTGGAGATTAACTTTCAGAAGAGCATAAAGTGGCATCATCTGGGGATAAGTCAATCGATTCAAGGGGATCCTAAGTCAAACTCTATGGAGGTATCTCCGAAGACCACGTCCCAAACTGTACAGGAGAATGGTGTGGGCTATCTTATCTACTGGGAAGGCAGAAAATGGGATGGAGAGGGAATTGAGCTAAAGGGTTCCAAGTTGGAAGGAATCGAGGGGAAGAGGAAAATTGATTACACAGTTGAAGTTGATATGGGAGTTCTTATAAGGGTTCAAACTGGTTTGTTCCTGGATCCATTTAGAGCTGCAACGCCTCATAGCAGGACTGCCTTAGAACCCTTACATGAAGAGGTTGGTTACAAGGAGGAGGCTTCAAGTGTAATTCCAGGGAATTTTTATACCCAGTTTCTGCCCCTGTTGGTTGTGGAAAAGGTGATGATGAAAGTGAAATAAATGAAGCTCCCAGAGCAGAAAACCAAGAGGTACTGGGAAGGAAGAGGTTCCAGGATGAAGAGGAAGTTCAAGATCAAGGTTGTGTCTTAATACCCACCTTGAGGGCAAGGTGGTTAATTAGGGGGGGAGTAATGTTAGGAATCTGCCTATTGATTATTTCAATAGGGTATTTGAAAGGAGAAATAAAAGGGGCTGAGGTCATTTAAGTGGGCTGGGGTCATTTAATGAGCCTGTTTATCTATTTTAGTCCTGGCGTGGACCTACTACTATAAATAATAAGTTGGGTAGCTAATAATAGGTAGATTGTTATTTTTAGAATCAAGTGTTGCCTGGTTGCCTAAGAAGTCCCTGTTGCCTTTGTTGCCTACGTTGAGATCTTTCCTAGCAATAAACATCATCTTCCCTATCATTTTTATCAGATCTGTGTTGCTTGTTACTGTTTGAGCTCAGATTATTACCAGGTTCCTATCATTTTCAAAGCTAGTTTGGATATGCCACCTGTCAGACCTTGTGACCATGCTATAAATATCAAGGAAGGGGCCAATATACCAAACCTCAGACCTTACAGGTATTCATATGATCAAAATAATGTGATTGAGACTATTATTCAAGAAATGCTAAGCTCTGGAATAATCAGAAACAGTAACAGTCCTTATAGCAGCCCAGTGTTATTAGCTAAGAAGAAGGATGGGGGTGGAGAATGTGTGGAGATTATAGAGCATTGAACAAGATAACCATTCCAGACAAATTCCCTATACCAATTATTGAAGAACTCTTAGATGAATTAGGGGGATCTAAGGTGTTCTCTAAATTGGATTTAAAGTCTGGTTATCACCAGATTAGAATGAAAGAGGAGGATGCACATAAAACAGTTTTCAGAACCCACGAAGGGCATTATGAATATGTTGTCATGCCATTTGGGTTGACCAATGCACCTTCTACCTTTCAAGCGTTGATGAATGAAGTCCTGAGGCCTTTTTTAAGGAAGTTTGCTCTAGTGTTTTTTGATGATATTCTGATTTATAGCAAATCAGAAGAAGAGCATGTTGAGCATTTAAGAAAGGTACTACAAGCTTTGAAGGAGAACAACTTGGTAGCCAACAAAGCTAAGTGTTCCTTTGGGCAGACTACCTTGTCATATTTGGGTCACATTATATCTGAAGAGGGGGTGTCTGCAGATCCTAGAAAAATAGAAGCGATGGTCAGTTGGTTGGAACCCAAGAGATCTGAAGAGCCTGAGGGGTTTTCTGGGGTTGAGAGAGTACTACCGGAGGTTTGTAAAAGGGTATAGCAGAATTGCTGCTCCTTTAACACAATTATTGAAGAAGGACAACTTCCATTGGGGAAAGGAGGCTAGTATGGCTTTTGCAGAACTGAAACAAGCCATGACATCCTTACCAGTCTTAACCAATCCAGATTTCAATAAAGACTTTATTATTGAAACAGATGCTTCTGGTAAAGGGCTGGGAGCTGTATTAATGCAAGAAGGGAGGCCCATAACATACATAAGTAAGGAAACTATCTATCAAGCATCAGACCAAGTCAATTTATGAGAAGGAATTAATAGCAATAGTTTTTGCTGTTCAGAAATGGCGACCTTATTTATTGGGGAGGAAATTTGAAGTACATACTGACCAGAGAAGTCTTAAATACTTAACTGAACAGACAGTCATGGGGGCAGAACAGCAGAAATGGATAGCCAAATTGCTAGGCTATAATTTCTCTCTCAGATACAAACCAGGTTTGGAGAACAAAGCAGCAGATGCTTTGTCCAGGAAGACTCAGTTTAATTCAATCTCAATAGTCACTTGTTTGGAATGGGAAGGATTGGAGGAGTTGTTAGCTGATCAGAAATGTTATGAAACCATTCAGAAGGTATTAAGTCAACCAGATCAAGTACCAGAATTCAGATTGAAGAAGGGATTGCTGTATTTTAAAGGGAGGTTAATGTTACCAAAAGGGTCTCCTAGGATTGCTAAAATCCTTAAGGAGTATCATGATTCAGCCACAAGAGGTCATTCTAGAAATTTCAGAACTATGAAAAGAATATCAACCTTATTCTATTGGATCGGTACGAGAAAGGATATTCAAGATTATGTTCAAACATGTGAAATATGCCAAAGGAACAAGTATCAGGCATTGAAACCAGCTGGGTTGCTACAACCTTTACCCATTCCAGAAAGAATATGGGATGATATAAGCATGGACTTTATTGGTGGATTGCCCAAATCTAAAGGGAAGGATACCATTTTGGTGGTTGTTGACAGGTTAACTAAATTTGCACATTTCATAGCCCTTAAACACCCATATACTGCTAAGGAGGTAGCTGAGTTGTTTATTAAAGAAGTGGTGAAGCTGCATAGATTTCCCAAATCTATTGTGAGTAACAGAGACAGTATTTTTTTGAGCAAATTCTGGTCAGAATTATTCAGATTGGCTGGCACTCAACTGAATTATAGCACACAGCTTACCATCCACAATCTGATGGGCAGACTGAGGTGGTGAACAAATGTCTGGAGACATATTTGAGATGCTTGACTGGGAAGAAACCTAAGGAGTGGATACATTGGTTACCTTGGGCAGAGTATTGGTATAATACCAATTACCACATATCCCTAAAACAGACTCCCTATAAGACACTTTGTGGACAAGATCCACCTGTAATCATCAAAGGAGGTGTATCTATTACTGCTATTGATGAAGTGGCAAGGATGACTGCTGAAAGAAATGGACTGTTAAATGAAATCAAGGAAAACTTAGCTATTGCTCAAAATAAGATGAAGCAACACGCTAATAAGCACAGGAGGGAACTGAAACTAGAAGTTGGGGAACAAGTTTTTCTGAAGATTCAACCATACAAGATGCAGAGCTTGGCCAAAAGATTGAACCATAAATTAAGTCCCAGGTTCTATGGACCTTTTGAGGTTATTGAGAAGTTGAATGATGTTGCTTTCAAACTGAAGTTACCAGAACATTGTTTGATACACCCAGTATTCCATATTTCTCTACTCAAGAAAGCATTATCCCCAAACACTCTTTGTCAACCGTTGCCTAAATGCTTGAATGAGAATTGGGAATTGCAGGTTACACCAGAGAAGGTGGTGGATACCAGAAGAAATGTGGATGGAGTAACAGAGCTTCTCATACAGTGGAAGGATTTACCTGAGTTTGAGAGATCTTGGGAAGATGCACAAGTATTGAAGGAGCAATTTCCATACTTCTATCTTGGGGACAAGATAGATGTTCAGCCGGGGAGTATTGATAGAAGCACAGCTAATTCGAACACTAGAGATAAATACTTTGACAGGGTGTATTCTAGAAGGAAGAAATAAGCTGCTAGTTATTAGTTATAGTCTGTTAATAACTAAATAACTACTTCTGTTGTTCGAACTACTATAAATAGAAGGGAGGCTGAGGGAAATAGGCAGGCTGTTAAACTGTTGTAGTCTGGACTGGGAAAGATTGAGATTCACTGTCTCTCTCTTTTGGGGCTTCGGCCTTTGTTGTTGGTTTCATTCAATAAAGTTCTGGAGATTTCTTCTATATTTTGTTCTATATTTTTCTGTGAAATTGTTGTGATCTATCATAATTCTTGCCACTAAATGCTTGTTTCTTTTTATTTAATTTTTGTGTAGGTGAGTGGAGAGCTCGAAAGGCATCCTACATCCCTCATTTGACTTGAGGCTTTTTACTGACTTCATTACCATAGTCAAGGATGTGTTTTACCTATTGTGAAAGCTTGAGCTACTAGAGATGTCGAACATAGTTATGAGTCATATTTTATGTGTATCCTTAACTCTAAATAACTAATGCAATAGATCACCTGCTATGAAGGGAAGTTGATGTTGATCTCTGGAATCATTGGATAACTTCTGCAAAGCACATTCTTTTTCAAGAAGCTCCATTTCTATCTCAGCTTCTTCCAATTCCTGAAATTAAATTAGGTCACTGTTTGCGAAAGAATATAAACTCGTTCCCAAAAGTTCACAAAAACAAAAAACTTACCACATTCCTGCAGTCATGTTCCTTAGAGAAAAATTCTAAGTATGATTGGACAGAAGTTAGACTGGTAATAACCTTCAAGAAGTTTGAAAAAACGACTTAATAAAAAATGCTACCTCTGTCCCAATGTATGTGTCTTGTTCTAGTTTGGCACAATTATTAATAGTGGTTTAAAAAGTAAAGTTGTGGTTGCAAATTGCGATTTGAACATAATAAGGTGAAATGTTGTGAACCGCATACTTCTTTCCAAAAAGGGAAATATGTGTTAGGAATAGATATTAAATGGGCCTATTATTAGAAATAATAATAAGTGGGCCTATTATTGTAGATAATAATAAGAGGGCTTGTATTATAAATAGTGTAGAAAAATGTAACATGTATTTGTTATTTTAATTATTTGTACATCCGGAACTGTATAGATAAGACTTAGAGTAGATAGAACTCTCTAACTAGTTGATAAGCTCGCAGAATAGATAGATCCTATATTTTAGGATCTGTAACAACTAGGCTTTATCTGTAACTTGTATATATATCATTGCAGGATGGCTCAATAATATTCAAGGAAGATTAATTCTTCAAACCTACATGGTATCAGAGCCTCGGTTTAAACAATGGTAGAAACCAGTGATGCTGATTCCTCACACACTATCAACCCTAACTCCCAAAATAGCCCTATGACAAATTACCAGTCTCCTATTCATTCATCTATGATAATCACTAGTCATAGATTGAATGGAACAAACTATCTGGAGTGGTCTCAATCTGTCAGACTTGCAATTGATGGGAGGGGAAAGCTGGGTTACATCACATGAGAAATCAAACCAAAACTACATGCAGAAGAAGGTTACAGTACATGGAGGTCAGAGAATTCACTCATAACAGCTTGGCTTCTCAACTCCATGGAGCTCTTAATTGTCAAACCTCATATGTTTATGAAAACTGCAAAGGAGGTATGGGACTCTATTAAGGAAACTTATTCAAATCTTGAGAACTCTTCTCAAATTTTTGAACTCAAAACCAAATTGTGGCAATCTAAACAAGGAAATAGGGATATTATTTCATACTACAATGAAATGGTATCTCTGTGGCAAGAATTAGATCAATGCTATGGTGATCAAGAGTGGGAGAGTGCTAAGGATCTGGCCAGATATAAGAAAAGAGAAGAGAATGATAGGCTCTATATGTTTCTAGCAGGGATCAATAGGGACCTAGATGAAGTAAAAGGCAGAATACTGGGAAAGAAACCTCTGGCCTCAATCAGAGAGGTCTTTTCTGAGATCACGTTGGAAGATAGCAGGAGGAGGGTCATGTAGAACACTCCAGTACCTAATGAGGAACCTGGGGACTCTTCAGCTTTAGTGGCCAGAAGTGATGACAAGAAAAAACCTTGGTGTGATCACTGCAAAAAATTGTGGCACACGAGGGAAACATGCTGGAAACTTCATGGAAAACCACCAGGAGCTGGAAAGAAGAAAGTTGAGAGGGCCCTACAAACTACTGTGACTGAGACTCAACAAGAGTCAGGAGTTGAATCTAAACAGCTGCCTTTCACTCAGGAACAGATAGAGTACCTACTCCAATTTATACCCACCCAGAAAATCTCCAACCAAGAAAACCCTTCTTGTTCTTTTGCCCAAAATGGTAAAATAACATCATTTTTTGTTCTGAAAAACCAAAAAACACCTGGGTCATTGACTCAGGTGCAACAGACCACATGACCTACATTCCAAATCTCTTTTCTTCATATCAACCTTGTGCAGGAGATAAGAAAGTTAGAGTTGCAGATGGCTCTTTTTCAGCCATAGCAGGGATGAGAAATATTAAAATTTCCTCATCCATTAACCTTTCTAAAGTCTTACATGTTCCAAAACTTTCCTGCAATCTTATCTCTATTAGCAAAATAACCAAAGACCTTCAGTGTTGTGTAAATTTTTATCCTTCTTATTACATTTTTCAGGATCTGGCATCGGGGAGGATGATTGGCAGTGCTACAGAGGAGGATGGACTATATGTTTTTGATGAATGAACACAATTGAATAAACAAGGTCAAGAAAAAACTTGTCTGCAAACTATTTCCTTTCCTTGTAATAATGAAGTGTAATTAATGCACTATAGATTAGGTCACCCAAGTTTTTCCTATTTAAAAAGGTTGTTTCCTAAGTTATTTCATAATAAAAATCCTTCATCATTTCATTGTGATATGTGCTTGCCAAACATCATAGGAGCTCTTATATCCCTCATAGTTACAAGCCAACTAGTCCTTTTACTATTGTACACACTACACAGTGATATTTGGGGTGCATCTAGAGTTTCAACTTTGAAAGGAAAAAGGTGGTTTGTAACTATCATAGATGATCACACACGGGTCACATGGGTTTTTTTTATTAAAGAAAAATCTGAAGTTGAAGAGGTGTTCAAGAAATTTTACTCAATGATTCGACTCAATTCAATACTAATATCAAAATTGTGAGAAGTGATAATGGTCTTGAGTATTTTTCTAAGAAGTTAAATAATTTTTTTACTGAAAAAGGGATTATTCATCAAAGTTCCTGTATAAATACACCTGCTCAGAATGGAATAGCTGAGAGGAAAAATAGGCATTTGCTTGAAGTCACTCGTGCAATTATGTTTTCTGCTAGAATTCCAAAATATTTATGGGGAGAAGCTGTTTTACATGCTACCTATTTAATTAATAGGATGCCATCAAAGACTCTAGGATTTAAAACTCCCATTGATACACTTCAAGCCAGTTTTCCTGAAACTAGGCTTATTAACTCTCTTCCCATAAAAATTTTTGGCTGCACAGTTTTTATTACCAACTCTGACAGAACTGCAAGCAAATTTGATCCTAGAGGCAAAAAATGTGTTTTCTTAGGACTATCTCAACATAGAAAGGCTATAAATGTTTTGACCCTACAACAAAAAAGATGTTTGTAACAATGAACACTGTTTTTGTTGAAAAACAACTTTTTTTTGTACTCATCTTCAGGGGGAGATTCCTAATGAAGATGGTGACAATGTGTCACATATCCATGAAAAACTTGAATTTCTTGACATTAGTCTAGATGCACAATATAATAGACAGTTAGATGCACTAGAAAATAGTCAAGAATCAAAAGAAAATGAAATAAAATTTTCTGAGACAAGGAAAGATGATGAACAGCAGACAAGTAAATTTTTTGGCAAGGTTTATGAAAGGAGAGTTCCAAATCAAAGAATAGAGGACATCCCTGATCCTGCCACTGCTCATGAATCTGACACAATGTCAGAAAATGACAAAGGTAATAATTCCAGTGATCTAAATCTACCCATTGCTCTCAGAAAAGAAAAGAGATCATGTGTTAAATACCCCATCTCAAACTATTTGTCCTATTCTCAGTTATCTGCATCATTTGCAGCCTTTACCTCTAGTCTTTCCACTGTTTCTATTCCCTTAACCATACAGGAAGCTCTATCTAAACCTGAGTGGAAGAAGGCTGTTTTAGAAGAAATGAATGCTCTTGAAAAGAATCAGACATGGCAGGTTGTGGAATTACCCAAGAACAAACCAACAGTGGGATGCAAATGGGTATTTACCCCTAAATTCAAGGCAGATGGTACACTTGAAAGATATAAGGCCAGATTGGTTGCCAAATGATATACACAAACCTATGGCATAGATTATACAGAAACTTTTGCTCCAGTTGCAAAATTAAATACTATAAGGATCCTTCTATCTCTAGCTGCTAACCTAGACTGGCCTCTTCAACAGTTAGATGTGAAGAATGCTTTCTTAAATGGGAAGCTTGAAGAGGAAGTATACATGAGCCCCCCTCCTGGGTTTGAGGAACAATATGGCTCAAAGGTGTGCAAGCTGGAGGAAGCCGTATATGGACTTAAACAGTCCCCAAGGGCTTGGTTTGACAGGTTTACTCAATTCATAAAGAGGCAGCGATTCAAGCAAGCCCAAGCAGACCATACACTGTTCATGAAGTTCTCATGTAAGGGAGAGATTGCAGTGTTAATTGTTTATGTGGATGATATCATTCTTACAGGAGACTATTATAAAGAGATTGAAGACCTGAAGAAGAAGCTGGCTCAGGAATTTGAGATCAAAGACCTGGGAGAATTGAAGTACTTTCTTGGCATGGAGATAGCAAGATCAAAGAAGGGAATTGTGGTATCTCAGAGGAAGTATGTACTAGACCTACTCCATGAAACAGGTATGAGTGCCTGCAGACCAATAGATACTCCAATTGATCCTAATCAAAAGTTAGGAGATGTCAAGGAAGGAGTACCAGTTAATGTTCAACAATATCAAAGATTGGTGGGAAGATTGATTTATCTGGCACATACAAGGCCAGATATTGCCTTTGCAGTTAGTATGGTTAGCCAATTCATGCATAATCCATTCCAAGAACATCTAGATGCTACCTACAGAATCCTAAGGTATTTGAAAAGCTATCCAGTGAAAGGATTATTTTTTAAAAAGGGTGACAATAGAAGTGTGGAAGCTTTTACAGATGCAGATTATGTTGGCTCAAGAACTGATAGAAGGTCTACATCTGGGTATTGTACCTATGTATGGGGGAATCTAGTGACTTGGAGGAGTAAGAAGCAGAATGTGGTTGCTAGAAGTAGTGCAGAATCTGAATTCAGATCTATGGCTAATGGAATCTGTGAACTGCTTTGGATCAAGAGAGTGATTTCAGAGTTGAATATGAAAATGGAACTACCTATGAAGTTATATTGTGATAATAAAGCAGCCATTAATATTGCTCACAACCCTGTGCTACATGATCGTACTTGTTGAAATAGAAACTGAAATGATATTAAAATGGAGAGAAGGATTTTCTGTGTTTTTCATTAGAGGGTTAAGGCCCTATATATATATATTACAAAGATGGAATATTCCTATATAAGATGCTATACAATAATAATGTCTAGAGTATATTCCTAAAGCATATTCTAGAGCATATTCCTAAAGCATATTCCTAGATACAATAATACTTTCACACTCCCCCTCAAGTTGGAGCATAGATATTTATCATGCCCAACTTGTTACATAAGTAATCAACTCGAATCCCATTTAGAGCTTTAGTGAATAAATCTCCAAGTTGTTCTCCAGTCTTCACATACCCGGTAGAGATTAATCCTTTTTGTATCTTCTCTCGAATAAAATGGCAATCAACCTCAATATGCTTTGTTCTCTCGTGAAATACGGGGTTGTTTGCTATGTGTATAGCAGCTTGGTTATCGCACCACAACTGAGCAGGCATTGGTGTCTTCAATCCAATTTCATTCAATAAATGGTGTATCCATATTATCTCACATGCGGATTGTGCCATAGCTCGATATTCTGATTCAGCACTAGAACGAGAAACCACATTCTGTTTCTTACTCTTCCAGGATACAAGATTACCACCAACAAAGACACAATAGCCAGATGTAGATCTTCGATCATCTTTAGAACCGGCCCAATCAGCATCTGCAAAGCATTCTATTCTCATGTGATCATGGTTTTGATAAACAATACCTCGTCCTGGTGCTCCCTTTAAGTAACATAATATGTGTTCTACAGCAGCCCAATGATCAATGGTCGGAGATGACATGTATTGACTTACTACACTCACAGAATAAGCAATATCTGGACGGGTGACTGCGAGATAATTAAGCTTTCCAACCAGTCTTCTATATCTTTCTGGGTCTTCAAACGGTGTGCCTTCTTGAGTGAGTTGCACGTTGGGAACCATGGGTGTTGTACTTGGTTTTGCCCCTAATTTCCCTGTCTCAGCTAGTAAGTCAAGTACATATTTACGTTGAGATAGAAATATGCCTTTCTTACTTCATGTTACCTCAATTCCCAGAAAGTATTTCAAAGAGCCAAGATCTTTCGTCTGGAATTGACTATGTAGAAAATTCTTAAGGGCCAAAATACCTGCATTATCACTCCCTGTAATCACAATATCATCAACATATACCACAAGCAATGTGACACCTGATTCTGTTTGTTTGTAAAAGACAGAGTGGTCTGATTTGCCTTTTATCATTCCAAATTGTTCAATTGATTGACTGAATTTCCCAAACCATGCACGAGGACTCTGTTTCAGACCATAAAGAGATTTGCGAAGTCGACAAACTTTACCATACTCCCCCTGAGCAACAAATCCCGGAGGTTGCTCAATATAGACTTCTTCCTTAAGGTCACCATGCAAAAATGCATTTTTAATGTCCAACTGATGTAAGTGCCAATCATGAATTGCAGCGAGTGAGATAAGTAACCTGACAGATGTTAATTTAGCAACAGGAGAAAAAGTGTCAGAATAATCAACACCATAGGTTTGAGCATAACCCTTCGCAACTAATCGGGCTTTCAACCGAGCAACAGATCCGTCTGGGTTAACCTTAACAGCAAAGACCCACTTACATCCAATAGATTTCTTCCCTGTAGGTAAGTCAACCAAATCCCATGTACCATTAAGATCTAAAGCATTCATTTCCTCTACCATGGCTTGACGCCATTCAGGATGAGACAAAGCTTCTTTGACAGATTTGGGAATAGAAATAGAATCAATGGAAGCAATAAAAGAACATGAAGCAGGAGATAACTGATTGTACGACACAAATGAAGAAATAGGATGAGTACAAGACCGTGTACCTTTACGTACTGCTATTGGGAGATCAAGATCTGATGTGGAATCAAGATCTGAAGATGCAGATACTGGTTCAGGACATGAGATCGGAGTCGAACTAGTATCAGGAAAAGTAATCACAGGTATCGCCGGTGGAGGGTGATCAGGTGCTTTGTGTCGACGGGTGTATACCAAATGTACGGGAGGCCTAGGGTCATGAACAGTAACTTGTGGAATATTTGTCGAAAGTGTGGACTCGGGAATAGTCATCGTGTAAATGAGAATATCATCATTACTCTCACGAATATCTGCCTTGGATGATGAAAAAGGTGTATTTTCATGAAATGATGCATCAATAGAAACAAGATACCGACCAGTACTCGGACAAAAACATCTATACCCCTTTTGGACTCGAGAATAACCCAAGAAAATACATTTTAATGATTTCGGATCTAACTTTGTTAGATGAGGATTAACATCTCTAACAAAACAAGTGCAACCAAATATTTTAGGTGGGATAGGAAAAAGCTCTCTGTTTGGAAATAGACAATGATAAGGAGCTTTACCATTCAAAACAGAAGATGGCATTCGATTTATCAAAAAACATGCAGTAGACGCGACATCTGCCCAAAACTGTTTAGGCACATTCATTTGGAATAGAAGAGCCCTTGCAGTTTCTAAGAGATGTCGGTTCTTTCGTTCCGCAACTCCATTTTGAGGAGGTGTATCAACGCATGAAGTTTGATGAATAATGCCATGTTGAAGCATAAATGACTTAAATGTAGCAGATAGATATTCTTGGGCATTGTCTCCTCTTAACACCCGAACAGGAACGTTAAACTGAGTTTTAATTTCAGCACAAAAGGAAGAGAAATGAGTGAACAACTCAGATCGACGTTTCATGAAATACAACCATGTCATACGAGAATAGTCATCAACAAAGGTAACAAAATATTTAAAACCAGCTTTAGACACAACCGGGAAAGCACCCCAAACATCAGAGTGAACAAGGTCAAATGGAGCATTTGCTCGTTTATTAACTCGCGGGCCTAAGCTAGTACGATGGTGTTTCACAAATTGACATGACTCACATTGTAAAGAGGTCATCTTATTAAATTGGGGATTTATTTGCTTCATTAATGGGAGAGATGGATGTCCTAATCGGTAATGAGCATCTAACAAAGTCCCAACCCCAAGACAAGAGATACCTTTGGTGATGGATGTATCCAAAATATATAGACCAGCTGACTCATGTCCTTTACCAATAATCTGCTTCGTTAACAGATCCTGAAACACACAATATCCCGGAAAAAATGTTACAGAACAGTTAAGAGTACGAGTGATTTTACTGATGGAAAGCAGATTAAATGCAAAATTAGGAAGACTCAAAACAGGCGATAATGGTAATGTAGAAGTTGGAACAACAGTACCAGATCCAAGAACGGGTGAGGTAGATCCATCAGCTAAAGTGACACTAGAAGTAGGTAAATATGAATGAAATGACGAGAATAGACTAGGATTACCGGTCATATGATCTGTGGCACCTGAGTCAATGACCCATTTCGAGGATGAGGAAACAAGACACGTGTTTGAAATACCTGAATTAGCGGTTACCGAGATAGGGACAGAGGAATGCTTTAGAGATTCTTGGTAGCAAATAAATTTGGCATACTCGTCTGAAGAAATAGCAATTGATCCATCGGATGAACTGGTAGCGGAAGCAACATGAGCAAGCTGATTTCCTTGATTTTTGAACAGCAATTTTCTACATTCTTTGATTAAGTGTCCGGGCTTCTTACAGTAATTGCATATTACTCCTCTGTCAAACCGAGGGTGAGGGAGGTGAGACAGATGTTGGACTAAGGTTTTGAACTAGTGTCCTCTGATGTTCTGCTGAGGTTCTGAGACTGCCGATGTTCTGAACGGGAAGAAACTGGGCTGTGAAATTAGAATCAACTGGAACAGAAAGTCTCTGGTTTTGAAAAGGGTTGCCGGCTTCTGAGATAGGAGGTTCTGGGAAGAGGTTCTGGGAAAATTTCTGGGAAAAGTCTGGGAAGAGGTTCTGGGAAAATATTCTGGGAAGAGGTTTTGGGAAGATGTTCTCGGAAGATGTTCTGGGAAGAGTCTGGACTGAAATCAACTTCGTGGAGAAAGAACACAATCTGAAAACTGAACTGAGATATGAAAAACTAAACTGAAATCTGAAAAGAAAAACTTAACTGAAATGGATGGCTCTGATACCATGTTGAAATAGAAACTGAAATGATATTAAAATGGAGAGAAGGATTTTCTGTGTTTTTCATTAGAGGGTTAAGGCCCTATATATATATATATATATATATATATATATATATATATATATATATTACAAAGATGGAATATTCCTATATAAGATGCTATACAATAATAATGTCTAGAGTATATTCCTAAAGCATATTCTAGAGCATATTCCTAAAGCATATTCCTAGATACAATAATACTTTCACAGTACTAAACATATTGAAGTGGACAGGCATTTTATCAAAGAGAAGATTGAAGCTGGAATTGTGTGTACACCATTCATATCTACCAAAGAACAAACAGCTGATATCTTTACAAAGGGGCTGTTCGAACCAGTGTTTGAACTACTTATAAGCAAGTTGGGAATGTATGATATATACTTACCAACTTGAGGGGGAGTGTAGAAAAATGTAACATGTATTTGTTATTTTAATTATTTGTACATCCGGAACTGTATAGATAAGACTTAGAGTAGATAGAACTCTCTAACTAGTAGATAAGCTCGCAGAATAGATAGATCCCATATTTTAGGATCTGTAACAACTAGGCTTTATTTGTAATTTGTATATATATCATTGCTGGATGGCTCAATAATATTCAAGGAAGATTAATTCTTCAAACCTACAAATAGAAATACTATAAATAGAAGTCTGGAGTCTAAGAATGGGAGGCTGTCATTAGATTGGACTTAAACTTTGGAGATTGGGCATCTCGGATCGTCCAGTGCTTGTATACGTGTTGTACTTCTTCGTCTACGTCAATAAACTCTTTCTGATCTTGTTTCTCTATACTTGCTACTGATTATATTGTGTGGAGTGTCGGAATTGCAGACCTCATCGCTTGCGCAGGGCTATTCTCAGCCGCGAACAGATGTCCGCAGTTCACCGGCCCCTTCGCGTACAACTTCTTATAGGTCGCACAGTTCGACACTCACGTATCATTCCAGTTCGCAAGAATCTTCGCCAAGAACTACTGTTTGTTCTTACAGTCCATCATCGGAATTCCTCATACGTTCGGAGAAGTCTTCGCAATCACACTCTCAAACTTCTTCTTCTCCAAGTGAAACAAGATTGACAGGAAGTTTCAATTCACAAGTTTTGTCTAAGTCACAAGCAACTTTACCCAGTTCCCCGGCTTTGTCGCGAGCTGACTCTCTCAGTTTGGGTCAAAGTACGAAGCCTTCGAGAAGCGAACTTTTCAGTTCTCAGACGATACCTAACAAAGATGAGGTATTCGAGAATCAAGGACAAAGCCGAACCAGAAGAGAGATAGAGTTGTCTCTAGTCAATAAAGAGGAGAAATCGGCGGTGGTGACACAATCCTCTATCTCCGTAGACTACGAATCGGTAGTTGATAAATTTGCTGGTTCAAACACTTGGGAAAGCTCTACAGGGACTGTCCACATCGAGGAAACTGAGGAAATAGAACAGGGAAATGTTGGAAAGAAGCTTCAGGGAATCATCAGCGCAGACACTAATGCTACTGAGGAACTAATCAAACAAAGATGGATACCTAAGATTGAAAAACATGGTTGTGTTGTTCGGTTCTACAATGGCTTGCAAGGTTTTACTTCCGAGTCTGATTGTGGATTAGATCAGAACTCTGAATCAAATTCAAGCTATCAGGTTGCACCAAAGAGGAAGTTAGATGGGCATCTCACTGTTAAGAATAAATTCTTGCATATTTCTGGTGCATAGGAGGCTCATATGACTACATTAACTAAGGAGATTATGAATTCAGGAAATATCAAAATTCTTATTGATGAAGTCCCTACTCTAAATGGTTCTGGCATGGATAGGAGAGGAAGTACGAAATTGGGACTTGACATTGATGGCAATGTCAAACGGGATGAAAAGAAGAGACAGATTCAAGTGTTCATGGAGGTGAATAGCCATTATATGATATTACTTCTGAGTACAAGAGATGATGAATGGGAAATATATCTCAGTAACCTGAAATCTGAAAAGCAGTTAGAGGATGGTGAGACTGCACTAGGGAGCTATGAAGAAGGGGTAGAAATCATAGTCTATCCTAAGATTCTTGATGGAGTGCAGCAGGCTATGTTCGTGTTGATGGGCAGTTTTCTATTCAACCATTCCATAACTCAAAAGAGGCTGAAGAAAAAGCTCATAGACAAGAGCAAAAGAATGCAGTCAACCTGTATATCCTTTATGCAAAGGATGCCCCGAATGGAGCTCATTGGCAGAACTTGCTGAAGATTGTCAATATTGGAATACTTGCTGAAGCGTACAGAACTTCATTAGATATCTCTTCTGCTGCTGAAATGTTTGTGATATCAAAAGATTTGGTACTGAAGTTCCTAGTCCAGCAATCAATCAAATACTGGGAGGGGAGAGGTGCAAGAATGAAGTGGAAATGGAAGATCATGGCTGTTTCCTATCACCCACCTTGAGGACAAGGTGGTTGTTTAGGGGGGGTATTGTTAGGAATAGATATTAAATGGGCCTATTATTAGAAATAATAATAAGTGGGCCTATTATTGTAGATAATAATAAGTGGGCTTGTATTATAAATAGAAATACTATAAATAGAAGTCTGGAGTCTAAGAATGGGAGGCTGTCATTAGGTTGGACTTAAACTTTGGAGATTGGGCATCTCGGATCGTCCAGTGCTTGTATACGTGCTGTACTTCTTCGTCTACGTCAATAAGTGAGCCTCGTTTAGCTCATTTTAATTTTGGATAGATCACCCAGTTCCTACTACCACAATCAAAAGATTCAAAACAGTGAAAGGAAGGAGAGAGAGGGGGAGGAAAGAAAGCGTGCAACTGTAATTATGCATAAATGTGATGATAAGCACGCGGGAAATCAAGAAGATCAAGTTATGTCCAGGATTTGTAAGAACAAAAGAGTTACTAAGTTATTACAATTAACAACACCAATCAATATGATGCCCAACATTTTCAAATAAAAACCAGAGTCCATCCATATCCCAAACAAAGAAGGGTAGATGCATTGGACAGCTCAAACAGATGTTAAATCGTATCGAGCAAATCATGAACATAGGATACATCAACCCAGCATCAATTCAAGTGGAGCATTTACTTAATATGAGAATATGACCCCTCAAACTTTTTAGGGACATGGGTTATCATTTTCAACAACAACAACAACATTACCCCAGTGCCGTAAAGGCTCCCACCTATGGTGGGGTAAGGGGGGGTCGGATGTACGCAGTTTTACCTCTATACTAAAGCACAGAGAGACTATTTCCGGATGACCCGTGATGAAAATTGTCGAAAATTGCATAGACTGACTGCAGCTTCATAACAAAGAAGCACAAATAGTTTAGTGAACCACTTTGCTTTATTCCATCATATTCTCAAGTCAAAAAAATAGTGAGTATCTGGCTCCATTGGAAATGATAGGCAAGAGATGGGTTATCATTTTGAGATAAATAATTTATTATGGCGAAAAAAACTTTCAATAAGGGAATAGTAGCACATAATGAGCAGTATACATACATACTTCAAAATTAGATGAAACTGTCAAAGCTGATGGAATCTGATTATTCCTAGAAGTTTCGGTTTCTGGAGTGTTGCATGGCAACCTTGTTGCTTCTCTGCAACAGAAAATGGAATGTTGAAATGTGGAATTACAATTAAAATTTATAAAAATGGGTTCTTCTATGAGGGAGTGATGAAATTTGTAGAATCGTAGAATGGGATTAGTCAATTACTGAAAGAGAATTTCAACAGTGAAACTGAAAAATCACTATGACAAGACATCCAAAGAGATTTAGTGTACTAGAAGTGGGAAAAGAGTTCCATCCTTACCTTTTCTAGACGGTGTTACTAATTTGTACAAAAACTCTCAACACTTAACTAACAGCGGCCAAGCATAATTGATAAGGAGTAAAAGGCAAGGTGATGAATATCTAGAAAGACAAAATTTTATAAATTGTACTACCTCCGTCCCGTTGAAAGGTTCCCATGGTAAAACAGTACGGTTATTTAAATAATAATTAAATAAGATAATTTGTGTATATTTTGAGAAGTATTTTTGATGGGTTTATAATGTAATGAGATAATGGTGATAACGGTGATGTTATAAATGTATTATTTTTAATAGTTAATGATTATATTGTTATTTAAGAGTATTAATTGTTTCCTAAAATAGAAATGAGAACCTTTATATGGGACGTCCAAAAAAGGAAAGTGAGAGCCTTTATATGGACGGAGGGAGTAATAAACATCATTCATCATTTTCATTTATCCCAGTGCCGCAAAGGCTCCCACCTACGGTGGGGTAAGGGGGGTCGGATGTACGCAGTCTTACCCCTGTACTAAAGCACAGAGAGACTGTTTCCGGATGACCCATAGTGAAAATCGCGTCCAAGATTGCATGGACTGACTGTTGCTCCATAACAAAGAAGCGCAGACAGTTTAGTGAGTCATTTTGCTTTATTCCATCATAATCTCAAGCCAAAAAATAATGAATCTTTGGCTCCATTGCAAATGATGGAAAATGAGGGAGTAATAAACATTAAGAAAAAATGTGTGGAAGGTAGAAAGAAAATGACATGAAATACCTGAAGGTATTACCCAGCAAGACTAGCTTGCCAAACAACCTAATGTTACCCAACTCTAAGAGTCCTGATTCTACAAATCTCTCAATGCCTCCAATGATAAAGGAAGCCATTATTTATAACCTATGAGTCTATGACAATATTTAAATAATGTAAAATATAATTAACTATCAATTATTCCTTATACCATGCTAACCATGATATATTGCTAAAAAGCCTAGAATCTTTCATTTAAGCAAATCTGATTCATTGTGATCCTTCGACTGATTCCATGATTGCTTTTCTTCCTCACCAATAATATTATAGATTAGAAACGTAGATGCCACCATGTTTTCAGACAAGTACTAGCATGTTACTATTCTCAATGGTGCCAACTCCACACTATGTCACTATTGTTAGACAGAAAATATTCAGTATTAAGGAGCTTACCCGGAATAGTTACATCCAATAAAAAAATATAAGCTGTATGGGTAAAAAAACCAATCAAGGGTACCAACCTTTCCTTTACAACATGAAGAATTGGATAAAATTGACCAACAAGTGTCGCAAGGAATCGAATACCATGCTCTGCTGCTTCTGAAAAGCCACTAAGATCAGCCTGCAGAGAATGAAATGAAGTTTTAAATAACATACAGAGTATTCAAACAAGATTTGAGATTGTAAAAGAAATCTTGTATTTCTGGAATCCATGTTAAAGCAATACCTCTAGTTGGGGAAGGAATGGGCCCAGCCTGGTTGTAATGTCTTGAAGCAACTATAGTTAGGCGGATATGACATACAAGGATAGTAAAAAATTATGAATGATCAAATGATACTAAATAAATAAATGTGTGTGTCTGCACCTGCGTGCCCATTCACATGAAAGAGTTTTGCCGCTTATAGTCCCAGAAGTACTTTCATTTTTGGTCAATTATTCTATCTTTGAGGATGACCATACCCTGCCGACACAACCAATAAAATAAGACCACTCTGCCTATGGAATCTAATATTCTGTCTTTGAGACCTCCACTGAACCTTCTCAGTTTTTTTTTGTTTTTTGTTTTGCTTGTACGAGCGTATTAGCAAAGCATATTACATAAATCAGGAACAACCTTCGCACAGAAAGTTATGAATTCTCTTCAGATCCGCCCAAATTTGCTAGCTCCATTACTGAGAAGTTTTCTTGGTGGCTTCTCATTAAATGAAGGGTTCATAACCAGAATTTCCATGATCCTCTACTGCAATGTGGTGGATATTGAGATGGTTCCAATCCCAGCTATGATTTCAAGGGTCAGGCTAGCCACCACGCAGTCCACTCGTGTAATTATTGTTTTTTATAAAATAAAAATTCTTTCCATGAAAGAAAAATGAAGCTCTCCTGTGCCAGGTAAACCATACTTATGCTCTCCAGAGTCTCCAATTATTATTGGGTTTCTGTGAACTCTTTCAGCACACCAACAACAACATTACCCCAGTGCCGCAAAGGCTCCCACCTACGGTGGGGTAAGGGGGTCACCGGGTCAGATGTACGCAAGCTTACCCCTGTGCTAAAAGGCACAAAAAATGTTTCCGGATGACCCATAATAAAGTGCAGACAATTTAATGAGCCATTTTGTTTTATTTCATCATATTCGCAAGCCAAAAAATAGTAAATCCTTAATTTTGAAAAATCCTCTCAATCATGGGGAAGAAATTGGTGATGACATAATGTTGAGTTGTCTAAACCCCATAGTGAAATATGCTAAAGTTCCTCAATTTGTTTGACTTTTTCCCCTTCCTGCTAATCCGTGAAGCACATGGGACCCATATTAACTTCGGTTATGGAGCCACTCCATGAGTACAGTAAAATCCAGCTGTGTACAAGGTAGGACTTGATCAAAGAAAATGAGAACGTTGGTATGAGCTGGTTGCTAAACCCAGTGCTACTAATGATGAAGCCTTTGAGCAGTCAGATAGAATTTGGTTCTGACTTTTGAGATATTTGGAAGAGAGAAAAATGAAAGGAACATTCTTTATAAAGATAAAATACCCCTCAAAAGTATCACGTGTCTCAGATTTACTTTTGTTACGGCCATCAGTCATTATATTTTTATGTTAAAAGGGACAAAGTGTGGCAAAAATTTCAAACTCGTGCACTAAAAGTTACAAAAGATGATAGTCGACCGAAACTCGTGGGACTAAAAGTGGCAGAACTCCACAAGCACATAAAAATGAAAAGGAAAATATATGCATTGATTAGGACAGTAATAGGTAATTTTATTGTGTTTGTGCAACAACTAACAGAAATAGTTTTCACCTGAAGATGCAAATTGGAAGCATCATGTCTGTGTGACACTATGTGCGGTAGTAGGTAGTCTATAACAGGTTGGAACTCCGGTTCGAGTCCGGTAACAGAAATGCCAATCAGCTGTACAAAAGCTTAAAAAATATTAAAGTGAGAATCATATTTGCAATATCGCAGGCTATGTTCTAAAAATCGTTCTAGGCGTCCGACTAGTCCCCGCCTAGGCTCTAGGCGGTGGCCGGGCGCCCCGATTTTTGTCTAGGCGCTCCGACTAATTGGTTTGCCATCTAGGTGAATTAGTCGGCCGCCTATTGCGCCTAGTTGCCCGCCTAGAGCGCCTAATCGGCCGCCTAGGCCGTCTAGATTCGTCGAACATTACTTTACTTTTTAATATTAAATTTCTAAGCGATATACGTGTTTTAGCTTTAGTCATGGATATAAAGAAATGAAGTTGTAAATTAAGATAAAACTATATATGTTTATATATATACCTAAATTTCATCATTATTTATATTTATAACATAATGAAGTTAAGTGATTAGTCATCATATACTACATATGATTAAATGTGATAATTTTATCATTCATGTTTGTTAATGTATATGTATATATGTATTTTATACACACAAAAATACAATATTACTTATCATATTTATGCAAAAATATAGATAAAAATGCTTTTTTTCTCCGACTAGTCCCCGACTAGGCGTCCGCCTAGCCGCCGAGGTGCTAGGCGCTAGGCGTCCGCCTAGCCGCCGAGGTGCTAGGCGCTAGGCGCTAGGCTGGCACCCGACTAGCGCCTAGCGCCTTTTAGAACATTGATCGCAGGTAGTAAATTTGAAAAGCATCTTCTTCTTCATCATTACCCCAGTGCCGCAAAGGTTCCCACATACGGTGGGGTAAGGGGGGTCGGATGTACGCAGTCTTACCCCTGTAGTAAAGTACAGAGAGACTGTTCCCAGATGACCCATAGTGAAAATCGCGTCGAAAATTGCATAAACTTACTGTTGTTTCATAAATAAGAAGCGTAGACAGTTTAAATTTTGTTTTATTCCATCATATTCCCAAGCCAAAAAATAGCGAGTCTTTTCCGTCACATTTTGAAAAGCATAGTTTGCATAAATGTTCCACTATTCAGAACTAGTTTAATATTACGCCTGTCCCAATTTATAAATCCCAATTTCTTTTAGCATGCATGTTGAAAAAATTATATGCGATCAACTTTCCAACTTTTAATTATTTTAAACCGCAACAAGATTGAATTTCCAGATTTACCCTCTAAAAGGTGGTATTTTTCATTTTTTAAAAGTGAAAATGAGTCAAGGAATTTATTTCCGAGTCATAAAAAATGCCAATTGGAAAGGTAAAAACCAAAAACTAAGTGGAATTCTAAAAAAGAAACTGAACATAATTGTGAAACAAGCCAAAAAAGAAATTGGACTTATAAATTGAGACCGGGGTTCTAGTCAAATAAGTCAAGAACACAAAGACTAACTACTGTACCTGAAAAAGGAAAAAGAAAGCTAAACTAGAGTAAATAACTATCAGAACATCAATACAAACAAAAGCATGCACTTAAGTGTGACCTGAATGAAGAAAAGTGCTATAGGTGAACCCCTTAAGCAAGATATCCGAATATAACGACAAGGAGTGTAGTTCATAGGGTACATCATGTCACGTCGAGGTGCTTCACAGCGAGGTCTGACTTTCATAAAAGTCTCAGGCTATCAAGAAAAAAAATGATTAGAGAGAAGGTCATTTTCTCATAGAGATAATGAGGAAATGAAAAAAATCACTAGAAAGTCCTCTTTACAGACCTATAACAGTTTACCAATACCAACTTATATGTTTTGTACCACTCTCTCAAGACCGCATTCAATAATCTTAAGGAGAATAAAAACAAAACAAAACAAAACAAAATACATAATAAGAGTGACCGGTCAAACATCTCTTTCTGATACCTTGTAGCGAAGGCCAGCTGAAATTTCCCATTCCAGCACAGATTTATTATATATCCTTAAATGTGAAAGCAGACAAGGTTCCTGCAATGACGAGGCATTAAAATATAATGGTATACTTTAATCAATTACGTTGCACATTGATAATATTCAGAAGCCTAGTTCATCAATCAGAGATGACATAATGAAAATAAGAAACCGTAATGTGCATGGAAAACGATATGTGCAGTATTGTGCACGCACAATTTTCCTCCCCATAAAAGTGCCTGATATGGGGAGACAGTAAAGTGTAAGAATTAAGGAAATCCACATATCACTGAAACTGAAATAGACTCGTGCCTGAAAATTTCTTAGCACTTGGTAAACATGCATGAGCATATGCATTCCTAAAGAATGGGTAAGTTTTCCTTTTGAAAAATGATTTACTTAAATTAAGCATACTACTATTTATTGATGCTTAAAAATGGACACAAAATCATGACAGGCTGTGATGGGAATTTATGGTACATAAGTGATGTATTTAAGCTTTCCATCATTTCCAATGGAGCCAAAGATTCACTATTTTTTGGCTTTTGATGGAATAAAGCAAAATGGCTCACTAAACTATATGCGCTTCTTTGTTATGAAGTAGCAGTCAGTCCATGCAATTTTCAACGTGATTTTCATCATGGGTCATTCGGAAACGGTCTTTCTGTGCTTTAGTACAGGGATAAGGGTGCATACATTGACCCCCCTTACCCCACCATAGGTGGGAGAGCCTTTGCGGCACTCAGGTAATGTTGTTGTTGTTGAGTGATGTATTTAGGCACTTCTGTCAACTTTCCTGGGTTAGACACTAATAGACAAATATCCTAAAGCCAGTTACTACTAAATGTGGGAGTGTGGATTTAAGAAAGAAATACTCAGTGCCATTCAATACCATAGACAGTTCTTATGAGATTACTATTTTTTGCTAGTCTCCCCAAGTTTCACATAAACAGAAGCAATCAATACCATAGACAGCCCAAGAATTAATCATTGTTAGAATATTATCTCGTGTATCCTGTGACTTTTTACTATTGGTGGAGATATAGGGTATCTCATGATTAATGGTATTGGAGATATACAACAACAACAACATCCAAGCCTTAATCCCAAAAGAATTTGGGGTCGGCTAACATGAATCGATCTATGATATTGATGCCAAAAAGAGAAGACGGACAAGAAAAGGAAAAAAAGTAAGATACAACAACAACAACATCCAAGCCTTTGTCCCAAAAGATATTGGGGTCGGCTAAAAAAAGTAAGATAAAATGAATAAAATAAAGAGATAAATATAAGATAACAATAACACAAGAATATAAGAAAGATAAAAGAAAAAAAATAAAAGAGCATAAAAAAGCTAGAAGATAAAAATAACATAAGAATATAAAAAGATAAGGAAGATAAACGATAAAACAAAAAAAGAGAGGAAAGGTAGACAAGACATCAATCGTCCACACGGATGTGCGCCCTCCACTTTGCTCTCTCCAAAGTCATACTCTCATCCAACCCAAGAAGACGCATATCAGTTCTGATTCCTCTAATCCAAGTCTGTTTGGGTCTTCCCCTCCCTCTCTTCTCTGACTCTTCTCCCCACCCCTCAAGTCGTCTAACAGATGCATCACTCGGTCTTCTACGCACATGCCCAAACCACCGCAAACGAGACTCCTGCATCTTATCTTCTATAGGTGTTACTCCCACCTTTTGTCTGATTACCTCATTCCTCAAGCGATCTTTTCTGGTATGTCCACACATCCAACGCAACATACGCATCTCTGTCACACTCATCTTTTGAATGTGGCATTGCTTCACCGCCCAACACTCTACGTCATACATTAATGCCGACCTAATTGCTGATTAGGAATTATTTTGGAGATATATTAGGAGTTATTTTGTAATGTATCCCAGGATTCTTGATTAGGGGTGACGATATATTAGGATTTGCTACTTAAAGAGTTACTAGCATTGGTGTTATTCCTTATATAGGATTGTCTATTTTACTATCATTTTCATTTTCATTTACCCCAATGCCGCAAAGGCTCCCACCTAAGGTGGGGAAAGGAGGATCGGATGTACGTAGTCTTACCCAGGTACTAAAGCAAAGAGAGACTGTTTCCGGATGACCCATAGTGAAAATCACGTCCAAAATTGCATGGACTGACTGGTGCTTCATAACAAGAAGCGCCAGACAGTTTAGTGAGTCATTTTGCTTTATTCCATCATAATCTCAAGCCAAAAAATAATGAATTTTTGGCTCCATTGCAAATGATGGAAATATTGTCTATTTTACTATATATGTACAAATAGTGAAATACCCTATTAATTACAATATCATCAGAGGAAGGATAAGGCATTTAGCCGGTTTGATAAATAAGTCATGCCTCAGACAACCCCATTTAGCTGTAAATTTTGAATCATAACACTTGTGGACGCACAGTTATGCAATACCTAACCATATCCATTCGAACAAAGTTGGCAAGTACAGCTCATTTAACAGAGCAGCACATTTAGTCATCTGAACTCAAATCATATGGCACTGTACAAACTAGTCCGGCAAAGCCACAAAACCCCCACCATTTATTTTCCATCCCATATGCCTAATATCAACTTGCAGAGCAGTTCACAGACAAATGACATTCATAAGAAGGCAGTCGTAGAAGGAATTGGGATTAAAATGATCAATAATGGATATAGCAAGTGAGAAATGTAAATACATCTAGCTCAAGCAAGATCCACTCTTTGGTGTTTGTGCCGGTGGACCAGTGGTTACGGAGGTCTGGGTCAAGCACATGGGAAGCCTTTTGACCCGAAGATTCTCGAGACATGGCCTTCACTTTGAAGGGTAAAGGCTTCACCTTCGGCTCTAACTCCACCTCCATCTTTCTATGAGGTTAGTGTACTGTGTAAGGAGGTTGTGTAAACTCTTTCTTTCAGGAAAGTTATTAACAGTGCAGTGGGAGCTAAGACTGAGTAGTGGCCGTTTAATTCTTTGCGGTGTCGCCTTCGAAGGCCGTTTAACTATTTGATGCCGTTTGGCTTGTCTGAGGTTGGTTACTCGAAAAGAGAAAATGCCACAAATGGTCCCAGAGTATTGTGGCACGACCTACTTTCCCCAATTTTATATTTAAAGAAAAAAGATGACACCCCATTCCGGGGCCCCAACTCCGACCGGACGATAGATTGAAAGGATGTAAATTGGACTATAATCTCAATCTAATAGATAGAGAATGGAGCTTTGTCACTGGTACTTCCAGAGGTCCTATGCATATTTTAGCATAGTAACCTCTCATCGCAGTTGTCGGGATTCGAACCCGAGACCTAACCCTTGTGGCACTCCCTCACTAC